TTAGAGGACAAAGACCTTGTTGGTGGCTCTTCAGCACTCTGTCCCCAGGGCCCTGACGAGTGGCTGACACAGAATAAATGCTGAATTAATCTGTGGTGACAAATGAGTCACCCTCTAAAATGGCTGTTTTTCTTCTGTAGAAGTTGTGGTACTTAATCAAAGGTGTAAAGTTTCTATTATCCAGAAAACTTAATTATCTGGAAGAGACAGGATAGGCAAATTTTTTTTTGTACTATTGCAAGAAACTCTGATGGAGATCTCATTTCATCTGGTTCATCTCTTCAAAAGCTTGATGCCTATTGTCATCTCCTTCGCTTTTTTTAAAACGGCACCAATCATGGCAGAATACCTCTGATAAAAACTCCCTGATGAAACTGAGAACTCTTACCTTCTTTTCAGCAATCTTTTGTCAAAGTCCTCCAGCCATCATTCACGGGAGACACACAGGAAAACCTCTGGAAGTCTTTCCCTTTGGAAAAGCAGTAACTTACACATGCGACCCCCACCCAGACTTGGGGGCGACCTTTGACCTCATTGGGGAGAGCACCATCCGCTGCACAAGTGACCGAGAAGGGAACGGGATTTGGAGCAGCCCCACCCCTCGCTGTGGACTTCTGGGTTCGTGCACATTTCCCCACATCTCAAATGGGTTCAGCATATCTAAGCCAGGCCCTCTCCATATTTCTGTAATTACAACGCGATATTTATAATACTTGTGCACCTGGCACAATTAAATGCCAAACCAACAATAAATGGTTCCAAGGTATGTCAACACATAAGATTCTGATGACCTTCGCAGCTGCAGGGGCTGGTGAAGAGGGAGGGAGGTGGTGGACGGTGGGAGTGTCCTTAATTAGAATTAGAAAAAAAATTTTTCAAACCATAAGAATTGAAAACAAATACCTATCAATCTTAACTAGTGTAAACTATACTATCCTCACAGATTTTGGAGGGGAGCACAGGCCAGGAGGGAGCAAAGCTAGGCAAAATCTATTTTAATTACCTATTTGTCCTGAGATCCTGTGTATTCTCTTTGAAAATTGGGCTGCATTATCGACACACCACTAAGACTCCCTTAGCCCTCTTGGACTAAGTTCTACATTAAAATAAGGCTTAGCCCCACACAAGTTTTAGCCCCTGCAGTCTTCCTACTTTGGTGGAAAGAAAAGGCAAAGGGGGAAAAGCAAAATAAAGAGACTGTGAATTTCTAAGATCTGGAGAAGGTTGATTAAGACACCCAATCCCCTAAGTCACCCACCTTCAGAAAGTGAAGACAGGAAGGAGGAAGTAAGCTGTAGAAGGGATCCTAGTCCTGGCAAAACACACTGCCCAGTGGGCAGCTCTAAGAGAAAAGAGCTGTTCTAAAAGGAAAGGGGCCTTCAGGTGTGGTGGTGCATGCCTGTAGCCCCAGCTACTCCAGAGGCAGAGGCAGGAGGATGGTTTGAGCTCAAGAGTTAGAGGCTGTAGTGAGCTGCGATCATACCTGTGAATAGGCACTGAACAGTTTGGGAAATATAGAGACCCCATCTCTACAAGTAATAATAATAAAAAAGGAAGGAAAAGAAAGGGAACACATACTAGTCACTCAGAAGCCATTTTTGTCCTTTCCCATCCAACACTCTTGGGATGCACCTATAAGCCTATTTACAAATGCAATACCTAGATTTACCAAATCAAGGGACACAAGGAATCTTGTGTGAATAAGTTCTCTGATGTCTAGAAGAATTTCTCCTACATTTTCTTCTCGAACTTTTATGGTTTCATGCCTTACATTGAAGCCTTTTATCCATCTTAAATTAATTTTTGTATATGGCAAGAGATGGGGGTCCCGTTTCATTCTTCTGCATGTGGCTATCCAGTTTTCCCAGCATCATTTATTGAATAGGGCTTCTTTTCTCAGCAGCTGTTGTCTGCTTTGTTGAAGATCAGTTAGTTGTAGTAGATGATTTTATATTTGGATTCTCTATTCTGTTCCATTGGTCTGTGTATGTCTCTACCAGTATCATGCTGTTTTGGTTACTATACCCTTATAATATAATTTGAAGTCAGGTAATGTGATGCCTCCAGATTTATTCTTTTTGCTTCAGATTGCTTTGGGTATTCAGGCCCATTTTTGGTTCCACATTAAGTATAAAATTATTTTTTTTAGATCTGTGAAATATGACATTGATATTTTGGTGGGAATTGGGTTGAATCTGTAAATCACCATGGGCAGTATGGACATTTTAACAATGTTGAATCTACCAATCCATGAGCACGAGATGTTTTTCCATTTTTTGTCACATCTGCAATGTCTTTCATCATGTTTCATAGTTCTCCTTGTAGAGCTCTTTCACCTCTTTGGTTAAGTATATTCCTAAGTATTTTATTTTCTCTGTACCATATGAAGGGTATTGAGTCTTTGATTTGACTCTCAGCTTGCCTGTTATTAGTCTATAGCAATGCTAATGCTTTTTTGTGTGTCTATTGAGATGATCATACAATCTTTGTCTTTGCTTCTGTTTATGTGGTGAATCACATTTATAGGTTTGATTTTTTTTTTTTTCATCAGAACCCCATTTTGAGACTGCAGCTCTATTCTATCAGCTAGATTTTAGACTGGAGACCTGCTAGATCAACATGTGTAGTTTGGCCTGAAATGGTAGGTTTCAGTCATGATATGGACTCTTTGAACTAGAAGCCTATAGAGCTAATAATATTCAAGCTCTAAGATGGAAAGGAAATAGGCTATAGATAGATTTCCCGTGAAGATGCTTTGAAAATAAGACAAATTTTTGCGTTGAGAAAAATTATTTAATTATGGTCAAGAGATGAAAATCAGTTTGTAAGTCTTCTTCCAGAGAATTCTCTGGGTGCAGAATTAGCTCTAGGATGACTTTTACTCTTTGAATGGATAATTGGAAGGGAGGTGGAGGACTGCTAAAACAGAAGCTAAAAGAGAAGGTGTTGCCAAAAGCAAGTGAAAATGATTCTTAGTTTTCCAAGCATATGTAGTTTTCGGATTTCATACTTTTTGTATTCAAATTCTTGAGCCTAAAGCTAATGGGCCAGAGGGATGTGGAACTGAAGCTTGATATATTTGATATATTTGATTCAAAATATACTTTGTGCAGTGCTTTGTTGTAATTAGGACCATAGTTGTTGGCTGTTTGTTTTTGTTCTAGGGAGATGATATTTATCTCCTCCTTGTTTTTTCTCTAAGGATTCTCTTCCTTGTTGAAATAGCTGGCTTAGGAATCAGACCTAGAAGACTGGTAGCTGCTTCCCAGTTCCAGAAAACATCTCGAGTTCTTTGCCCATGTTCTTGAGGCCTCCGTTGGAGTTTGTGCCTTGAAGTACAAGAAAACCAAACAGGAAAGGTGGAACCTGGGCAGAGGCACTGTTTCTGGCTGCCTAAACATGTGACACATTAAATTGGGGCTATCTTTACATTAAATTATATGAGCAGAAAGACTAGACAGCAGACTAGCCATCCAGATAGTATTAATGTATTTTCTGATGAGAACATGCTAATTGAACTTTCACTCCCAAAGTTACAAGGAAATTATTTTTCCATAACTAAAAGTTAGTTTTGTTCTGGCATCAAATTTAACAAGGGAGAGAGAAAGAGGAAAAGCATTGGGGTATCCTTTTATTAACTCAGACTTTCTTGATTTCTCGGTCTCTAGGTCACTGTAAAGCCCCAGATCATTTTCAGTTTGCTAAGTTGAGAACCCAAACCAACGAATCTGACTTTCCCATTGGGACATCTTTAAAGTACGAATGCCGCCCTGAGTACTATGGGATGCCATTCTCTATCACGTGTCTAGAAAGCCTGGTCTGGTCGAGTCCCAAAGAAGTCTGTAAACGTAAGTAACCCTGCCCTGGGGGCTTCCCAGTGTCTGCCAAAACATCTGTAGGATCTTATTTAATTTTTTTCAAATTTTGTATATGAAAAGCCTTTTCTCAAAAGTGTTGAGGTACGGGGATGTAAGAGTTGATCTGGTAGGTCATACCTGATTGTTACTGGAAATGTTCATTTCATGAGAATGTTTCAAGGAATATTTGCAGAGAAGATCTCCATTTCCTATGGGAAAGTAAATAATTCATGACTCTAGACCAGGAAAAAAAAATTCTATAAGGAGATATACATTGTTTGAATAACTAGGTTGGAAGAAATCCTTTGAGAACCTTAAAATGTAGTGGTGCTGCATAAGGCCATAAATGGCTTTTACATTTTGATAAGGGCTGCAAGGTGGAGGACAGGCAGATCTGGAGGGAAGATCCTTTTGAAAGTGGTGCTTCAAAAGAGGCTTACCCCATATGCCGAAATAAAAAAAAAAAAAAAAGAGGCTTACCCCAAGGCAGTCTGGTGAGTTTCCTCAAGGTGACAAAATGTGTGAATCATCAGACCTGCATACAGTCTTCAGTAAGCTACAGGGAGGTGGGACCTTATGTACTAAAAAAAGTTCGGATTACCCTACCTGGCTCCTAATTTCTGTTTCTTTGCCATAGGTAAATCATGTAAAAATCCTCCAGAACCTGTGAATGGCATGGTGCATGTGATCACAGACCTCCAGTTTGGATCCACAATCAATTATACTTGTAATAAAGGGTGAGTTGGCGGAAACATCTCTTGGTTCCAGAATTCTAGGACAGCAATGCTACCATCTAGTCGCATCTCAGAAGGGACAACCGGGCTGTTACCACCTGCTGTTAAAGGGCTTGCACATGGGTGTTTTACTCCTGATTGAAATGAACAAAGGTATGATGTGATTCAGGGGGAAAAAATCTGTGCCCTTGTGAAAAACCAGAGCGGTGCATAGAAGAAGAATGTGGCCTTCGCCGGGTGGAAAGGAAGAAAATGGGCCAAGAGTGTAGTCAAAGCACACACACAGGCCTGGCCCAGAGTGGACACTGCGGGAAGAAAGGCCAGGCCATGGAGCAGTTGTGTGAGAGAACAGATCTTGACGGCAGCAGCACCATCTGTGTGCTAGGGCTGCTGTAGCAGAGCGCAGGCATCCCTCGTTTCATTGCACTTCACTTCTTGTGCATTGCTGATGCTATAGTTTTGAAATATTGAAGGTTTGTGGCAACCCTGCATCAGGTAAATCTACCGGCACCATTTTTTCAGCAGCATGTGTTCGCTTCGTGTTTCTGTGTCCCACGTTGGCAATTCTCGCAACATTTCAACCTTTGTCATATCATTACATCTGTCATGGCGATCTGTGACAAGTGAACTTTGATGTCGCTCTTGCCATTGCTGTGGGGCGCCATGAACATACCAGACGGCAACCCTAATTGATGAATGCTGGGTGTTCTGACTGCTCCTTGCACGGGGCATTCCCCCGGCTCTGTCCCTCTCCTCAGGCCTCCTTATTTTCTGAGACACGACAATGTTAAAGTTAGGCCAATTAATAACCCTACAGTGGCCTCTCCGTGTTCAAGGATGAGTCACATGTCTCTCTATTGAATTTTAAAAAATATTTTTTTAAAAAAACGCTGGCTGTGACTAAGCTCAATGAGGGAGGTCAAGAGCTGAAGGAGGCTGAAAGCGAGGCCTCTTGCGCCAAGCAGTTAGCGGAGCTGTGAATGCAAAGAAAAGCCTGAGGTGCTCACAGGGCAGGCCCCGCCTTGGTGCTCACCCGGGCTTCCTCCGCAAGCAGTGGTGAGCGCTGCCATGGCAACGGCGAAGCCAGTTCGAGAACATGGGCTACATTTATGCCACCACAACCAGCACTGATAGAAACTTGTGGCGGCTCACACATCTGCCACCCTAGGCCTCACGGTCCACAGTACCTAGAATCTGACAAGGTAAAATTAGAGTAAATCCAAACTCCTCTTCTCTCTCTCTCTCTCTAGCATTTTTAAGCACAATCTAAATTCTCCGACTACACCCTCTTCACGCATTACTGAGTGAGGGTGGACCTCTCTAAGGTATAAAGCAGAAAACCATTGAGCTCATGATGAAGAACAAGAAATGAATATAAAAGAGGCCAACCTGAAAAATTAGGACAAATTCCCCCTAAAAAATAGAGTGACAGCTAAGAAACAGGGAGAACTTTCAGAATAATCTCCTGTTCATATTTTTAGCAGGGTTCGGTTATACCATTGCTTCTAGGAAACTAGCCAGGAAAGTTTGTACATGAATGAAAAGCACAATATTCAAACTAAAATACACACACACACACACACACGCACACGCACACACATGACAAACACACTGAATACTGCAGGAAATTAAAGCAGAGAGTAAGAAGAAGAGTTAATAAAATTCTCCCTGAAGTCAGTGGAAAAAGATAAAGAGAAAACGAAAAGACGTGTACAAGATAGTACTAGGATTTAAAATCGATGTGACAAAAATTTCAGAAGGGGAAACATGGCCATACCTAACCATCACTAGGGAAACTTCTGCATTTCAGGGATACAGAAAAAAACTTCAAGAATCCAAAAATAAAATTTTAAAAATCTAATACCTGCAAAAGAAATTAATTCATATTGGCACAACATTGATTGTACGTGAGACTAGATCGTAGGAGATAGTGCTTCCAATGAGCCAAGCTAGAATTCACATCTAGAAGCTCCAGATACACATTAAAAGATAAGCTAAGACCCCCAAATTATACCATTTAAGTATGCTTCTCAGGAAAAAAAAGATTAACTCAGGCAATCCATAAGTAAGTTTTTAAAAAGGAGAATGATGAAATCTAAGAGAAATATTAATAAGAAAGAGAATTGATTACAAAAACCAAACATACATAGATAAACCATGGTCAATTGTTTTTAGCTAATTTATGAAACTCAATATAATGCAGAACTATTAATAATTCTTAAAAAGTGAAACTTTGCAATGTAATAATTTAATAACAATCTCTGTAAATGATAGAATAAATCAATGAAACTAGAAAATGAGAGAAAGCAAGAAAAAGTAAGCTAGACTTATACTACAGAAGAGATTGGTAGACTATACATATTTTGACTCTAAATTTGAGACAATAGGTTTAAATATATGTATTATGTATGTATATAATACACATGCACATGTACGATTCCTAATGGGCAAAAAATAGGATGTTTAACTTCCAAATTCTTAGAACAACTTAAAGAGCTGAACCTATCTGGTCCATATAGCAAATGAGAGGGAAAGAAAAGAAATATCAAGGAAAGTATCTTTCTCTTTCTCAAGAAATGAACACTCTGATGTTTGGGAAGATCACTTTTATTTATCGCTTCATCTTCATCATTGGACATCGTGTAATGAATGAAAAGGGATAGTAGAATGATGACAAAAGCAACATCAAATATACCATTTATTAATATCTCAGTACATGTGGTGTAATCTCCTTTTTGAAAAGCAAAGTCTTCTAAATGAGATCAAAAGCATCAACTCATGACATAGCAGTGTTGGATATATACACAAACAAATTATGTACACAAACACATACACATGGAAAATGCAAACAAAAATGGCAACAATAATATGAAAAAAAAAAACCCAGATTATCAAACAGATCTACAAAACAATTATGTTATTTTGATGCCAGGTATAATCCACAATGAAGCCAAGAGATTAAGAAGCAGAGCAGGCCAGGAGTTAGAGAAGAAACAGCACTTTCAATAGGGAGAGAATAGGAAAGAGAAATAATAAAAGCAGGATACAATAGGTGTGGTTTAGGCTAGGCTTTAAACTTCTCCCAGATTGTAATTTTTCTGATTCGTCACATATGCATGCTGTGAGCAAGTTGATGAGGTGTGTACGGCATAATTATTTTTCTTTTTTTACCTTTAGGTACCGACTTATGGGTCCCTCATCTGCTGAATGTGTCCTTTTAGGCAACACTGTTGATTGGGGGAATAAGACACCAATTTGTCAACGTGAGTTAAAATCTCATTCCCCATTTATCTTACCAGTTAATCCAATAGTTGCTCCCCTAGAACTACAAAGAATGAATCTCATCCCTTTTGGAAATAGCATCCTTCTGATATTTGAAAGATACAGTCATATCCTTAAAACAGCTTACAGTGTTCCAAGCTTCTAGGTCTGCCTAGAAGTAGTTTTTTTTTTTTTTTCTTTGTCTTGAGGTGTAATTTATTTTAAACTATAGTCTTGAGCTCATTTCCCCCAATTTCTTCTTTTGTTGGTTGGACATTTCCCAGGTCGAAGAGCATTCTCCTTAGTGAAGTAAATAAATACAAAGTTAGTGAAAGTAGCCCTATTTCCTCTCTGCCAGCTCTTAACATCATACCACATATTTAAGCAGTGCAGCTCTCTCTTCCTCCTCACTCTTTGTCTAAACAGGGATGTGCCATCTTCCCTGCTAGTTGTTTGGAAGATGAGCTTTCTACATTTTGGAGAGCCTAGAGGACTGAGCAATTGCACGTTAACAAAGAATAAAATGCATATAATCCTGGGTTTGGTGATGGTGTAAGGAAATTAACAATTTAAACCCAATTGGTGGGAAGATAGGTGGGAACGAACTATAAGGCCAATAAACAACACGTATCAAAACCCTTAACTGTATGCATGCCTTTAATTCAGGGGTTCTGCAGTTTATAATTGATTCTTTAAAAAATCATCATGGGTTTTTGCAAGGATATTACTGTACAAATGTTACGTACATTATTATTTGTGGTAGTGTCATGAAAAAGGTAAATTAACATAAAAGTTGAGCATATTCTAAACAATATTTTGGAAATAATTTACTGAAATGAACAAGGCATCTGTTCTGTTAAAAAAAAAATGTTTTTAAACTGTTCCAGAAGGCATTAGATAGTAGAGGCAACTCTTCCAAATGGACTTGGATAGTACATCCTTACAATGGAATATTATTCAGCCAACAAAGATATTTTAGAAAAATATAATTTGTGTGTGTGAGAAAGATTACATATTAAACTGGTAACAGTGGTTCTTTTTTGATGATGGCCTTAAGGATTTTTATCTATATTTTACGAATTTGCATGATAAATATGCATCTTCTTAAATATTTTAGTAAAAATTAAAAAAAAAGTGCATACATTAAAGTATACCTGCCAAAAATGATAGATACATTCTATGAATATATATGTTTTGGAATGATTTAAACTGCCTAGGAGTCAGCCATTACTTAAAAATTAGATTCAATTTGTCTGTAAAGTTAGCTATGCCTCATATTGTTTTAGGAGTAGCATTCGTAGTACATTTTTCATGTCTTCCACATTGGTGGGGTTTGCAAAATTTCTACCTTTTCTTGAGTCGATAGTGGTGAAATATATCTTTATCCCTAATATTCTCCTTTTCAAAATAGCATAGGACACAGTATTCAGTTCTTTTTTATTACTTCTAAATCTGCAATTAATGTGTTAATCATATGTAATGTTGTGTATTTATGCTTTGTCTTTTTATTATTAGTTCTGCTAGAGCTTTTTGTTCTCACTTATTTAATAAAGATGCTTTACCATATTAATAACCAGTAAAGCCAAGTATCTTCTATGGAGAGAGAACTAAATTAACAATGTTGAAATAATAGAGTTAAATTCTCATTTAAGATGAGAAATAAACATGTGCACTATAATTCCATAGGGACGCATTTATTGAAATAATGTTAGCTGAGAAGAGCAAAACTCAAAATGTTATGGTTCCCTAATCTGAATGACAGCAGTATTGTGAATATTTACTTTCTGGTAATTTGGAGTTTTTTTTAAAAAAGCTGGTTACCAAAATTTATAATTAAGTATAATTTTAAGAAACCAAGGTTTTGTTTAGCTTGCTCCCTTTTTTCCCAGGTATTCCTTGTGAGACACCCCCAGCCATCGCCAACGGGGATTTCGTTAGCACTGGTGGAGACTATTTTGAGTACGGGATGGTGGTGACCTACCGCTGCAGACGTGGGAGCAGAGGGGAAGAGGTGTTTGACCTTGTGGGCGAGGCCTCCATATACTGCACCAGCCTGGACGGTCGAGTCGGCGTCTGGAGCGGCCCTCCCCCTCGGTGCATCGTGCCTAACAAATGCACGCCTCCAGACGTGCAAAATGCAGTGATGGTACCCGACAAGAGAAGCCTGTTCTCCTTAAATGAAGTTGTGGAGTTTAGGTGTCAGCCCGGCTTTGTCATGAAGGGACCCGCCAGAGTGCGGTGCCAGGCCCTGGACAGATGGGAGCCAGAGCCGCCCCGCTGCTCCAGGGGTGAGTCTGCCTGAGGCCTGGCAGGGTCTACAGATTGCATGCGTTGCCGGGGAGGGTCGGGAGGTCAGTGTGAGTTCCGAGGGACGGGTGGGTGCTGAGCAGGGTGGGAGAGTAAACTGGGGAGAAAGAAGCACGAATTTAAGGGAGTTGGGGGTGAGCGTGGACCTGCGTGTATGTGTCTTCACTTTGAGAAGCAAGAGCTAAATTGGCCAAGAAAGGAGATATTTGGGGCTCTCCGATGAGCAATTCTCGGGGCAAAATGCCAGCTGCAATATATCTCAGTGATATTGAAGACTGATGTAGAATTTCCTTATGGTCAGCTGTGTGATAAGCATTTGTATGCATTATCTTATTTACTCTTTGCAACGACACTCTGAAGTAGGGCTACAGTGAAGGTAGCTTGGTCTTTCAGAGGTTAAGCAAATTGTCAAGTAGAATTGTCACATTCTATTAAGTGACACACCCAGGATTTAAAAAGGCATGTGTGTCAGCCCCCAGAATTTGACTACTCTGGTTCTTGCCATACTTCTGTCAGCTTCCATTGGTGAAAGAAAGAGACTGGCTTGTGAAGAAGCTGTCACAGCATCAGAATGGTGACAAAGGCATTAGGGTTTGTCTATAATGGTCCACCTCCTATGCTTTGTAATTAGAAATCTGAAGTCAAGAATGCAAGTAAGCTGCTCATAGCCAAACAGATTTTTTTTTAATTCATCTTTAATGAGGTGTAGATTGGATTGATGTGAAAATGGCTTATGATGCTCTAAGCATGCACCTATAGGGCTATAAATAAAGGCAGGCCTTGGGTGGAGTGCACTGTAAATAGTATGCCCCTCATGACAAGGACTGGCTGACTGAGGGGCATCTGTTCTTGATGGTGTACCTTGTCTGCTTATGCTGTGCTAGCCGGCTTGGCGTGAACTGGTAGGTGTTATGGTTGACATTGAGGTTCAGAGAAGGAGCTTACAATTTTACTCTAACCCATGCATGTCAGCCATGCACAACCACTGAGAGAGCAGGTGGGAGAACAAACAGAGAGATACAGAGATGGACATAGGACTATACTTCAGCCACAGAAGTACAATAAGAGAGATGAGGGGAAATCCACTAAATAGCCTTGGGCTCAAGTGACCTTCTCATTATTTAAACAACGAGGCTGAAAATTGAGATTGCCTGCCCAGGAGATATGTAAAGTGGAGAATCCACCAATACCAATGACTCCACGCCGGATAGCCAGGGCGAGGAAAGGAAACCTCATGCTTTGTACACTTACGAGTGAATTTGGGACCTTGTGCCAGGGAGAATTGGGTTCTATTTCTCTGCCTCTTTCTGGCTATGAGGACTTCAGGAAGCACAGGGGATAGCAAAAGGAACTCCCGCACAACTAACAAGTGCTTTGGAACTGTTCTTTCCACAGTGTGTCAGCCACCTCCAAAAATCCTGCATGGGAAGCATACCCCAAGTGACAAGGACAAGTTTTCCCCTGGACAGGAAGTGTTCTACAGCTGTGAGCCGGGCTATGACCTCACAGGGGCGGCGTCTCTGCGCTGTACACCCCAGGGAGACTGGAGCCCGGGAGCCCCCACCTGTGCAGGTGCCTGGACTCTCATTTGGGTTTCCAGACCACTCTCTTTCCCCCTCACATGGGAGTCTTATTCCCGCTTTGTTTTGTTTTTTCCTCCTAGTGAAATCCTGTGATGACTTCCTGGGCCAACTCCCTAATGGCCGCGTGCTGGTTCCACTTAATCTACAGCTTGGGGCGAAGGTGTCCTTTGTTTGTGAGGAAGGGTGAGTGTGACCCAGAAGAGAGACCAGGGACTCAGTCCTGCAGAGTGACTCTGTTGAGTTCAGGGGTTAATCCAGAGGGGGCTGACCTAATGGAAAGGAAGTACCCAGAGATAGAAGCCTCTGGAAGGGCAGTTTTTAAATAAGGGTAGGGACTCAGTGGCTTCACTATCAGAAGATAAAGAGGAAATGGTACATATAACTCAATGTCACGTGCAAACATAAATACCATCATCTGTCCAAAAGGGTGACGGGTCTAGTAAAAAAGAAGTACCAGAGGAGACTAATACCTGAAACAATTATTGGAATGTGTAGTAAGAACCAAATGGAAACACGAATAGATGTTTAAAAAAGAACAAGCTCAACTCATTTGGTGTCTCACTGCTACAGGTTCAGAAATGAAATCATTTTGGAAAAAAGTTCAGCTTCCAGTAAGGGACAAAGTAATAGCAATAGCAGAAATAAGATGACAGATCTTGAATATATACATGGATCATTAAGTGTATGGATTAATAGTAATTTGTAGGCATGATGAGATAAATATTTTAGGGGGCTGCTAAGAAAAGTTTTATATACATAAGAAAGTTGTATATACGATGAATAACATGCAGATATTTTTTCATGAAACTTTTAAATGACTCAATAGCGGGATTTAGAATAGAAATGCTAGAGTAAATAGAAATGTTTTTTTCTTGGGTGTAGAAGTATTTTTAATCCAATTACATATCATTTAAATAGTATTAGGTTTTGTTGGCAGGATTACGAAGACTAAGGCTCACATTTCAAATAACGTCATTAGCTTTTATGAGAATGTAAATGTTCTTAGTACTATGTTCCAACATCATTTTGGTAAGTTAAAAAAAACCTCTTGACCTAAAGGCAATTCAGGGGGCCTTTGGTCTGGCAAGAAACTAGACATTTTAGGATAATTTCCTGCCTTAAATTCCTTCCTCCTTACCTTATCTTTTCCCCAGATAATGTGGCTTTACCCTTCAAAAATGCAGAGATGTCATAACTGTAATTCAGGAACACTTTAGATGTAGTGGCAAAAACAGTTTCTGATCTCTTTCCCAGTGATTTACCAACCTAAACCAGGAGCTGTTTCTCCCTGACCCCACTGTCTGCCAGAGGGAAACGCTAGGTTTTGCAATAGAGGACAAAGTTCCTACTAATGACAAAGGGGGCTCTCAGAGAGCACTTGGGGAAAGATGACCTCCTGAAGCTCCAGGACCAGACAGAGGAGGAAATGTCCCTCTCTATCTGTTCTTTCTTCAGTTCAGGCTGGAGGGATAGTGCCTGTCTGGCCACAGAGCTTTACCTGTTGTTGCTGCTCTGCCCCTCACTGGAAGCTGCACTTTTTCCAAAATGATTGGGTTTCTGAGCCTCTATCAGTAAGAAACCAAGTGAGTTGAGTTTTCTCGCCTGTGCTTTAACTTAGGGATTAAATTGTTAATTAACTTAGGAACTCCCAGGGAGGAAGCTGAGCTCTGTCAATGAAGGGTAGAGAGAAATGGTGAGCTCACCCTGTCACAACGGCCTTTGTTCTCCAGGTTCCGTTTAAAGGGCAGTTCCACTAGTCATTGTGTCCTGGTTGGAATGAGAAGCCTCTGGAATAACAGTGTTCCTGTGTGTGAACGTGAGTACAGGAATATTTGTTCAGACCTGGGTCTTTCTCTTTGTTTTTTCCTTAATGTGTTTTGCCCCTTGGAATTATCTAATGTCTGTCCCTCTATTTATGTCCATTTTTGATAGAAATAGTTTTTTGTTAGAATAGTTACAAGGAATATTTTGGGGCAAATATAAACCTGAGCATCATGTGTTTTGGGTACCATTCTACAAATACTTTATCAGCATAGTTTGTACTATAAATGGGAAGAAATGCTTCATGCAAATTAGCTTATGGCATTATGTTATGCAAAATTTTTCCTTTATTTCCTGTCAAAAGTAATAGTCACATTTCTACTTCTCTCCCCTTATATCAATCTTCTATTTAGCCATATATTCATTCTTTCAACAAATTTTTTTCAAGCACCTATTACGTGCTAACTAGTCTTCTGGGAATTGGGAATATATCCATAAACAAGACAGACTAAGTCCCTGCTCCCATGTTGTTTAGATTTTTGTGCAAGAATAAAGACAAAAAAGGACATAAGTAGAAATTTTCAAATAATATCAAGTATTAGTAAGAAAAAAACCAGAGAAATATCAACATTAAAGAAATTCAATGTTCATCAGCATTTTAACACTCTTAAGGACCACAAATATTTTAAATTAGAGGGAGAGGCGCAAAAGGTTGTACTGCAGAAATTAAAAGATGAAAAGCAAAATCAATTCTTTCAAGCAGCAGTAAGACCTGGAAATAATATCACTGAAGCAATTTAAAAAGTAGCTTATATACTCTGGGAAAAAAAAGGGAAGCCATTCAGTGATGTAGGTATTGTGAAAGAATGCATTGTCGAAGTTTTAGGATGCATAGACCTCAATAACGATTCAAAGTACAAACAACTGCCTCTTTTTAGGAGAACCATAACTGATTGGCAGCATGAATTAGCCTTCAACTTAACAGAACAACTTCATGCAATACTTCAAAAGGAAAATATATAATATTCAGTTGCTTTAGATGAATCAACTGATACTACAGACACTGCATCAGTTTTCTACTTCATTTGAGTCATAACAAAAGATTTTCTTTGCTATCAAGAGTTGCTCACTTTGGGCACTCTTGTGAACAGAACACAGGAAATAGATATCTTCAACAACTTTCAAGATAAATGTCTTGAAGTTGCACTGACTTTGTTACATTTAGTGATTGTATGTACAGACAGTGCACTTTCCATGACAGGAAAACACGAAGGGTTTATTGCACAGGTAAAAAAAAAAAAAGTATTAACAGATCCAGATGCTCTCATTTCTTTTCGTTGTTTCTTGCATCAACAAAATTCTGTGCTAAAGCTACTATTTTAAGTGACACTTTGCAACAAGTTATAAGTATGGTTAACTATATTCCTGCAAATGCAACATGGCATCATCCATGGTCAGTTTCCTAACATGCTAAAGATGAACAGTGAGGTATTCAGTGTGGACTTGCTGTATCATTCTAAAGTGCATTGGCTATTGCAGGGATAGGTGTTAGCCAACATTTAATCTATGTGAGAACAGGTAGTTACATTTTATGGAGAACAGAATCAGTAATGTGAATTATCAAAAGAAGATTTCTATAGGAATGTAGCATTTCTGTGTGATATCCTGTCAAATCGAAACGACTTGAATATTTCTTTGCAAGGTAAAACTAAGTCTATATATATGATATATGGCAAAAAAATTCAAGTATTTCAAAAACAAGCAATCTTTTTTTCAAAAGACTTCTTCAAAAGGAGGTTTCAGATGAACGTTTTCCCCAGTTAGGAAGGGTCATTGATGAGAAGGATGATATAGTCAAATGGTTTGAAGAAGACACAGATGTCATAGACCTATTAATTGGAAAATACAATGAAAACTTCACTTATTAATACTTTGAGAGTCATGACATCACACTCAAATTAACATTTCAGCGTCAGATATCACCTAGTTGATATTGCCAAGACACCCAAAGAGCTACAGATGGAATATGATGGAGCTCTCAATAGGTGACATTTTAAAGTCATTGTTTGATGCTAAGAAATATCCAATTGAAATATGGAAAAATGCAGAATACCCACGACTTTGGCAACATGTCTGAAAAATGCTTTCTTGCTTTTCTACCACTTACTGCTATGAATCTACATTCTCCTACCTAACCCAAACCAAGACACCCTTAAGGTCACAAATGGCTGACACCCATCTAGAGGATCATCTGAAACTTCAGACCTCCATGCTGCGACCCAATATCCAAATGCCTTCCAACAAGAAAGCAGACACAGCAAAGTCATTAAAGGGATAGTTAATTTTAAAATGAAAAAATAGTTTTTCATTTTTTGAAATTATTGAGTACATAGTAGTTAGACTTTTACAAAATGATGTACATTTTTAAGTATTTCTAATTGAAGTTTCTTGAATACGGCCTTATTTGATTACAGCTAAATTAACGTGCCTTCCAACGTGAAAAAAATTCCCCACCCCTGGTTTAGATAGAAGGTATGAGAGAAAGAGGATTATGGGATTATGGGAAAGAGAAGGATTTTTGGCCAGAGAAACTACAACAGCAGAATTTCTTTTAACTGAAATGGAGGGGACTATCTGAAGAGCAGGTTTGGGAATAAGAAGAAATCAAAAGTTGAGCTTGGTACATAGTTTAGCATTCCTATGAGATATCGAAGTGGAGGATTCTAGGCTGGACATAGATATATTGAGAAGCCATCAGCATATCTATTATGCTTAAAATCAGAACTAAAAGAGGTGATCATCTAGAAGGGCATGAGAGCAGCTAGGAAACAAATGCCTGGGTTGAGCCGGGGCATCCAGGAGCAAGAAATTGAAAGGATGAGAAGGAATCAGCAAAGGGGATTAGGACAAAGCAGACATTCTGGTAAAAGTAAACACAGGAGAATGGGTGTCCTGGAAGCCAAGTGGAGAAGTTCATTTAAAGAGATGGGTGAGATCAATCAACTGTGTCAAGTTCTATAGAGAAGTTAAATAAGATGAGAACAGAAAATTGATCGTTGGGTTTAGCAACTCGGAGGTATTAATCATAAGCAGCTCAACAAGGGCAGTTCTGATACAGTGCTAGAGCCGACACCTGGCTGGAATGATTTCTGGGGAAAATAAACAGGAGGAACTGCCCCAGATCCTAGACAACATCTTAGAGGAGTTTTCATGTAAAGGGAGTAGAGAAATAGGACTATAGCTGGAGACGGAAATGGGATCGAGGAGATTATTTTTAAGTTTTAAGATGACAGAAAAGTAGCATGTTAAATAGAGAAACGCTGCTAATATATCCAATCTGTCCATTTAGTTCTTCACTCAGTTAAACAGGATATTGCTTTGTCTTCTGATCACAGGTACTGGAAAATACATGTTCACAACAGAATTTTGCTCAGTGAATGATGCATTGCTTTAAAATTATTTAGATGTCTTGTACTGACTTATATGATGAAACTTGATCATCTCATCTTTCATATTTGGAAGTGAGCTATTTGACAGTTTTAACTTTCCCAGAACACTTAAGTGTCAAAAAAGAAAGAGGAAATAGCCTCATGAACCGAAAGAGATACCTAAAATCACTTACTGGAGTGTAAACATTGGTTAAACTATTTTAGCCTTTAATTAATTTACCTGTAATTCTTTGATGCTGTAATAGCCCCTTCTCAAATCCAAAGAAAATGAGAATGGGGAAGGAGGGTCTCCAAATAGAGACACTCAGAGCAATAAATGTGTTTCTCCAATGACAAAAATACCTGCAAAAACCAGTGAGTATCTCAAAAGGTGTAACATTCTTGGATCTTTTGAAACACATACAGGAATATGCAGTATGTTTCATTTCATTGTGATAGCATTACTGTAATCCTTCATTATTATTATGAGAATCATAGCCTGGCATCAAGAAAAATTAAATCACTAATACACAAATAGTAAATGTATTATATATTCTAGAAAGATGTCTCTAGGATGAAGATCCTTGATGTCAAAGATCATGTTTACCTTGTGCTAAAAATAGTATTTGACGTATAGTAGGTGCTCTATAGAAATGACTGTTGAATTAATGGGTGATTTCCCTTTAATGTGGCTAAGAAGATTTTTATTCATTTTAAAGGAATACACTCATTTATTATTCAGAAATCTTAACTCGTTGAGGAATTCAAGATGCTCGTTCCTTTTGGACTTTTGTAATAAATATTGATCGAGGGGTCATTTCATTTAGCTTCATCGCAGCAGAAGCCTAATACATTTATTTTGTAGTTTCTATTCTCCTTAAGAAAAAAAGCATTGACTTAACTGGCAACACAGTCACGACACCCCGTAATTGGAAAATCGTTTTAGATTAAAGTTTAAAGATGTTAATGGAACTCAGAGCTCTTGTCTTCTTTCTAGAAATCTTTTGTACAAATCCTCCAGCTATCCTTCATGGGAGACACACAGGCACTCCTCTGGGGGATATTCCCTATGGAGAAGAAATATCCTACACGTGTGACCCCCACCCAGACACAGGGGTGACCTTCGACCTCGTCGGGGCGCGCACCCTCCGCTGCACAAGTGACAGTCAGGGGAATGGGATTTGGAGCAGCCCCGCCCCTCACTGTGAGCTTTCTGTTCCTGCAGGTCAGTACTTCCTTCCACATATCCTAAATGGGGTCAGAATACCTGGGCCCGATCCTTTATGTGTCTATAATAAGCGTATGGTGTTTGTGGGCTTAGCTTCGTCCTAGGTGGAAGTGTCAAAATGACATGCCACAGCTAAACCAGATGGGGTCCGGCAGTGCCAAGATGTGTTTGGCTAGGCGAAGTGCTGATAACCCTTCTTCCCTGTGGACTGGAGCAAGGTCAGGTAAAAGGAATGAAGGGACAGGTGGAGGGAAGGCAGTAAGGCACGGATTATACAAATCAGGAAGAAAAATGCACTCATTGGAGAGGACATGAGAACAACTGCCTGTGGACACAAAGCAGTGCCAGGATAGCTGATGGACACTCTCCACAAGTCCCTGAGGGCTACGTGCGCTTGCAAAGGATAAAACTGACAATAGGGATTTTATTTAGCTCAGGCTTTAGCTAGTCTTCTGCTGGATGGGCTACGTAACCTAAAAGGTTCTCTTTGTCTTTGTAACTTACGACCTTGGCTAAAAGCATGCCCAATTTGCCACCTCGCCTCTGAGCCCCATCTACATCTTTGTACTTGAACTCTTCCACTCTGGGGTTGAGAAGCAAGGAAAGTGTAGTCCAGAGATAAAAGTACAAAAAGGAAGAAGCAATTTCTTCCTAAGGACAGTTCTGGACAGCAACTTCCTGGACAGTTGCCTGGTCCTTTAGGCCTTTCTAAGAAGGGAAGCTGGAGTAGATTAGGGATGAGACAGCAGCTTTGGACCACCACACCATCCTCAGGGGCTCCCTGTTTTGTTTTTGTCCTTAAATGCTTGTCTCAGCATCAGAAGAAGAGTGGTGTATTAGTTTGCTAAGGCTGCTGTAATGAATTACCACAAACCAGGTGGCTTAAAACAAGAGAAATGGATTATCTTAACCGTTTTATAGGCTAGAAGTCTAAAATCAAGGTGTTGGCAGAGCTACACTCCCTCCTAAGGTTCAAGAGGACACCCACTCCTTGCCTCTTCCAGCTTCTGGTGGCTCCTGGCATTCCTTGGCTTGTGGGTGCATCACTCCCATTCCTGCCTCCATCCTCCCACGGCCTTCTCCCCTGTGCCTCTATGTCTCAACCCCCTCCTCTCCTTATAAGGACACCATTGGATTTAGGACCTTCCCTAAATCCAGGATGATCTCATCTTGAGATCCTAACCATAACTATATCAGACAAGACCATTATTCCAAATAAGTTCCCATTCTGAAGTTCTGGGTGGATATATTTTTTTGGGGGGGACAACATTCGAACCACTACATGTGGTAACTGCTATTTAGTGCCACGGAGGCAGCTTATGGTGAGCACCCTGAGAATGGAGTAGGGAGGAGTAGATAGATAGAGATGATTAAATATGTTCTGCTACACATGAGCGCATTAGCACCGATACATGAGGATATTAATGGTTAACTCTGGATACAGGCACTATGGTAGGAGGCCTGATATGGGAAACTATGGGCTAAAGTCCTCACTTTGGTGAAATAAGAGCAGAACGACCAGAAGCTGAGTGGTCTTCCAAGCAGTAAACATTTCCTGATAAGTAGATGCCACTGAAAAGCTCCATCCTAAAGAAACTTCTAGAGGAGGAAAATCTTTTACTGTTAGTGTAATTCTCTTTGTTTCTGTGGTCCTATCAGCTCAGTTGAAGAGAAAGAAGAGGTACAATGGAAGTCTTTCTGCTAATTCTGGTATTCCTCTGGTTTTGTTCTCCAGGTCACTGTGAAACCCCGGAGCAGTTTTCATTTGCCCATCCTATAACCCCAACTGATGAGTCCCAGTTTCCAGTTGGTACATCTTTGAACTACGAATGCCGCCCTGGGTATTCTGGAAGCATATTCTCTATCACCTGCCTAGAAAACTTGGTCTGGTCAAGTGTCAAAGACATCTGTAGACGTAAGTAACCCTGCCCTGGGAGCCATTTCCTGTCTGTCAGAGTATCTGTGGGATCAGATTTAATTTGTTCAAAATTTGGAACCAAGAAGTCTAAGTTTGCCCAAGGTGTTTAAATGGACAGTGGTCTTTATGTAGGTCACTCCTTCTTATTACCTGGAGTTTCTACAGCTTGACTATACATTCATTTCATGGGAATGGCTCTCATAGCAGGAATTGAAGAGAAAATTTCCATTCACTGAAGATCACCCTTGATGGCTAAAACCATGAAATGAATGAAACAGGGGCATGAAAGAAAAGTCTATGCATTGCAGTGAACCATACTTGGGTAACTAAAGGTAGGGAGGAAATCCCAAATTTTGAGGCCTTTGATTTCAGCTGGCAGGATGAAAGTACAATTCTTTAGCCATAAATGACCTTTATTAGGAGATGCAAGGTAGTCTTTTTTTAAAAGTGGTATTCCATAGCTGCTTGACTCTGAGCTTGTCTCGGAAGTTTCCCCAGAGCAGTCAATTCCATGGGACAATGAGAACTATGTGTGCTGTTCAATATGCTACACTCCAGTTTGAACCTCATAAGCACAGGTGAATTGAACTCTGCATTTAGTCCTAAATTCTGCATCTTCCCCCTAGGAAAATCATGTGGAGCTCCTCCAGAACCCTCCAATGGAATGGTGCACATAAACACAGATACCCAATTTGGATCAATAGTTCATTATTCTTGTAACGAAGGGTAAGTTGGGAGCAAGCTATCTCTTGAGTATGACCTCCAGAACAGCAATGCCAATCTCTGACTCAGTCATAAATAAATTAGACTACAGCCACTGTACTTTAAAAAGTAAGCAATAGGACTTCTGGACAGCAATGGTAGCTTGGACATAGGCATATGACCAAAGGGATATAAAAAGGAAGGAACAATCTGCATCTGTATTGTAAACTAGGTGAGTGGGCCAGCAGGACATGTACAACTTGATGAGACATTCAATGGATGAACAGGACCAGCCTGCACAGATACATAGTCTTACATGAGCAAAAACTGCAAACATATACCAAATAGATATACCGCATACAAAAAGAAAATTTCCCATAAACCTATGCATAGACTTTTTAAAGAAGGAAATACTAGTGAGGCACGAAACTGGTTAAATGGGGTCACCAAAATTGTCATTTTTAAGACGAATGGCAGGACTAATTCTTGAAAGAGAATTTATTTACCGTGAAAAGAAGCCGAATGAACTTGATATAAAATAGTAGATTTATCACTACAAGTAGGAAGTTAGGGATGAAATAATAAAAACTATATTAAACTCATAATACATAGGAGATGGGTAGATAATACATATTTTTGACATAAAAAATAAAGATAAAATGATATTTCATACCAGTATAAAATCAAAATTATACATTCAAAAATCACAAAGACGATCCAAAAAATTGAAACCACTTGTTCCGTACAACAAAAGAAAAGTGAGAGAAACAAAAGCAAGGAAGTTTTTCTTGTGGAAAACCTGCAGCAGTAGAATGGATTGGCCCTCTATGGTGCTAAGTTGCAGCCTTTGGAATTCTTAAATAAACAAAAGGGAAAGAATGCTGTAAACAAGATCAAACTCATCAGTTATGACTATAAATGCGAATGACTTAAATTCCCCCTTTTCAAAGACAATTACTTCTAAACATAGTGAAAGAAATAACATCTAACTACATAATATTTAAAAGAAACATTCCTAAAATAAAATGACATAAAATTTCCATTTGCAATAACATAGAAAAGAATAAAATAGAAATAAATTTAATCAAGGAGGCGCAAGGCTTGTACACTGAAAACTATAAAACATTGTTGAAGGACGCAAAAGAAGACCTAAATAAGTGGAAAGCCACCTGTGTTCATGAATTGGAAGACTTAACATTGTTAAGATGAAAATACCGCCCAAAGCGATAAATAGATTCAATGCAATCCCTATCAAGCACTATTCACAATAGCCAAGATATGGAATCAACCTAAGTATCCATTAACAGATGAATGGATAAAGAAAATGTGGTATATATACACAATGCAATATTATTCAGCCACAAAAGGAATGGAATTCTGTCATTGGAAGCAATGTGGAGGGAACTAGATGTCATTACATTAAGTGAGATAAGCCAGGCACAGAATGACAAATTTCACATGTTCCCACTCCCATATGGGAGATAAAAAAAAGTGATCTCATGGTAGTGGAGAACAGAATGGTGGTTACAAGAGATTGGGGAGGCAAGGAGAAGGGGTATAATGGGAAGTCGATTAATGGGTACAAAAATACAGTTAGATAGGAATAAATTCTAGTATTCAGTAGTACAGTAGGGAACTTATAGTTAATGATAATTTGTTGTATATTTCAAAATAGCTAGAAGAGAAGAATTGTAATGTTCTTAACACAAAGAAAATATCAATGTTTGAGGTGATGGATATCCCAATTGCCCCGACTTGATCATTACACATGATATTCATGTATCAAAATATCACATGTACCCCACAATATATGAACGACTAAGATATATCAATAAAAAATACAAAGAAAATCCCAACGGTATTTTTTTACAGAAATGGGAAAAAATTGTAAACATGCATATGGAATTTCAAGGGACCCAGAATAGCCAAATAATTTTTAAGAGAACAAAGTTGAAGGACTCATACTTCCTGATTTGAAAACTTACTGCAAAGTTACAGTAATTAAAACTTACCATGTTCTTACATGAGGCTAGACGTATAGACCAATGGAATAGAGTTGATATCCCAGAAATAAGCCCTCACATCTGTGGTCAGTTGAATTTTTAATAAAGTTGCCAAGACCATTGAATGGGGAGAAAGCAATCTCTTCAGCAAATGGTCCTGGAAAAACTGGATATCCACAAGTAAAAGAAGGAAGTTGCACCCTTAACTTGCACCATGTATAAAACTTAACTCAAAATGAATCAGAGACCTGAATTTAAGATCTGAAGCTATAAAACTCTTAGAGGAAAATATAGGGACAAATTTTCATGACCTTGAATTTGATGATGATTTCTTGAATATGACACCAAAAGCACAGATAACGAAGAAATAGATAAACTGGGTTTCATTAAAATTTTAAACTTGTGCACCAAAAGACACTATCAAGAAAGTGAAAAGACAACCCACAGGAGAAAATGTTTGCAAATCATATGTCTGATAAGGATTTAATATTCAGTATATATACTAAGACCTCCTAAAATTAAGTGAAAAAGCAACCCAATTTGAAAATGGGCAAAGGACTTGAGTAGACATTTCTCCAAAGAAGATCTACAAATGGCCAATAAACACATAAAAAGACGCACAGTATTATTAGTCATTAGGGAAATGCAAATCAAACCCACTTCATGCCTGTTAGGGTAGTATAAAAATAGTAATTTTTTTTAAAAAATGGAAAATCAAAAGTGTTGAGGATATGGAGAAACTGGAACCCTTCTACACTGCTGGTGGGAATACAAAATGGTGCAGCCACTGTGGAAAACAGTTTGGCAATTCATCAAAAAGTTAAACATGGAATTACCATATGACCCAGAAATTCCACTCCTGTGTTTTTTACTGAAAATAAGAAAAAGAGGGATTCAGATACTCAAATTCATAGCAGCATTGTTCATAATAGTTCAAAGGTAGAAACAACCCAAGTGTCTACCAATCGACGAACAAACAAAATGTGGTATATATTATACATCTGGCAGAATATTATTCAGCTATACAAAGGAATAGAGCTCTGATATGTGCTACAAGATGGACGAACCTTGAAAACATTGTGCTAAGTGAGATAAGCCAGACACAAAAGCCAGACAGACAAATACTGTATATAATTCCTCTTACATGAAATACCTCCAATAGGCAAATTCATGAGACAGAAAGTAGGTTGGAGATTACCAGAGTCTTGGGGCAGGGTAGAGACTAGGGAGTTATTGCTCAATATATGCAAAGTTTCTGTTTGGGGTGGAGAAAATTTGGGGAAATAGCGATGATGGTTGCACAACACTGTCAATGTCATTGATACCACTGCACTGTACACTTAAAATGGCTTAAATGGCAAATTTAGTTATATCTTTTTACTACGATAAAATAACGACAATTTTTTTTAATATATGATGTAAATATCGGGAAAGGAAAAAAAACAGGGTGACAATATAAGGAAAATAAGAATTTCAATCAAAACTATCAAATAGAATTAAAAGATTTTGTTTATTTTAGGATGTGGACACCCGGTCCAGTACATGATGAAAACAAAAATATCGAACAAATATTGATATATGTATATATATAGGAAAGCTCATTCAGTAGTTTTAAAGATAAAAGTCTGCAACACACGTACTCTTAACTAAGGAACTGTCTTCCACCACTGGAGAGGAAGTTCTTTCTGACCAAACACACAGCTGCCTGGGGTCAACCAGAGTTAACCAAGATTAACTTGGTTGTCTGTCTGGCCAGAAAAGGAGTGCAGAGGATGGAAGAGAATGGTCACATTCCCAACCACATCAGCCATTAGATCTAAGTATCAACAGAGTGACATATGGAAGAATCAAAATTTTAGTGCAAAGATATACCATATATTAAGAAACAAACAATAGACTAGAGGGAAATTTGCATTAGGTAAAACATAAAGAAAGTTCAGAGCATATAACAATTGATAAACAATAGACAACTCAATATAAAAATGAACAGGGAATATGCACAGGCAATTCAGAAAGGGAACAGTAGAAATGGCTACTAAATATTTAGCCAAAAATGTTCAACTTCACTATGACTTAGGGAAATACAAATTAAAGCAGCAATGTCTCATGTTTCCTTGGTAACACTGGCAAAAGTTAAAAAGTGGGAAGTAGATGTAAACAGGAATTGGGGCAAAATGAGCCCTCTCATGCTGACTGGTAGGAATGTGAATTACTACAGCCTTTAGAAAAATAACCTCACACCACCCACAAACCAGGAAACCGCAGTATCTTATGACCTGCTAATCTCATTCTTTGGGAAAAGGGTATTGCAAAAGGTCATTTACTGCAATATTGTTTATATAAGCAAAAAGAGCAAATCCTGACATCCTTTTTACCCTGTTTCCCCGAAAAGAAGACCTACCCATAAAATAAGCCCTAGCAGGATTTCTAAGCATTTGCGCAATAGCAGCCCTACCCCGAAAATAAGACCTAGTGACGGGCGTGGCTACGCAGCACATCTGCACAACCCATGCATTTCATCGCCGAGCGGTATAGAAGACTAGCAGCCCTTCTCATCTGCCCCATCCTGACAGCTACTATCCCAGAAGTGACCGGAAAGGTCCGGGCAGCCCCACCAACAAGGTCGGCTCCCCCTGTCAGGTCCCGGCCATCCTGTGCGTGCTGCAAGCTGAGGCTTTGAGGGGAAAATAACACATCCCCTGAAAATAAGCCCTAGGATGTCTTCTTGAGGAAAAATAAATATAAGACTCTGTCTTATTTTCGGGGAAACACAGTATTAGCAGTAGATTGAATGACTTGTAAGATTCCTACATTATGACCTATTTGGCAGCAATCAAAAAGACGTAATTAGTTCTCTGTTTGGTGACTTGAATGGGCGACCATGCTGCCATGTTAATTGGAAAAAACAATTTACAGGAGAAGCATATAGAGTTTGTTCTAAATTTGGAAAAACAATGACAAATTTGGAAAAGATAGCCCGTATACATCTGTGTGTTTGGGCTTGGAAAAATTGGGGTTACCTGAGATAAGGCAGGGGGTGACAAAGTATACATGGCATTCTAAGTGAATATATAGATTGTAAAATTATGTTTTTAAATTTCTGAAAACAAGTGCAACCTAAATAAGCATATGATCAAGGAATAGATGTTAACCTGGACAAATGAAACATAGATTATTTCGATCAAAGGATAGCAGAATTTTTTTGTCGAGAGCCAGATAGCAAATGATTTCAACTCTGTGGGCCATTCGATCCCCATTGCATTGCATCTGTTCAGCTCCGCTGTTGCAGTGGAAATGTAGCTCTGGACAACACACCAGTGAATGGGTGGCTATATTCCAGGAAAACCGCGTTTGCAAATTAGAGCCTACAGGATACACTTGGCCTGTGAGCCTTAGTTTGGCAATCTCTCTTTAGATGAAGGGATTGTGAACATCATTCTTCTTTAAATTCCTGTCATTAGTCAAAGCCAGAGACGTTTCTAAAATAAACAAAAAGACATATTGGTAAAATAATAATAATAGTTGAAAACTTTGGATTGGGCAAAGAAGTGTACAAAAAAGTAAGTCGTTGAAGAATGAGGCTGTTCTGATTCATGTGTGTTCAACATTGTATGTACCCTTTATAAAAGTTACAAAAACCATTTTATAAAACTTGATATTATATCACTTCACAGAGTTTGTCCTTGACAAATTTGTTCTTTGGAAAAATCAAAATGTCTATATTCTCTCATCACAATATATCAAAATTAGGAATTGATAAACGAATAAATTTAAAAATTCAGTTTTAGAAGACAGAGTACCTTGGATCTTGATCAGAAAGAAAATTAAAACAGCCATTGCAGATTATCTGCAGAATAACAATTGCTAATGATTATTGAGTACACGTGACGAAAGCACTCTTCTAAGTGTTTTGCATGCATTAACTTACTTAATCTTTAAAATAACCCTTTGAAGTAGATATTATGCATAACTCTCATTTTACAGAAGAGAAAACCTGAGACAGATTTAACTAATTTAAGTAATTTGCCCAAATTCATATGACAGAGGTTGAGGTTAGAATTTGAATGTTGCCAGTCTGCCTCAGCAGCCTGTAATGAGTAACCTTACCTTATTCAGCATCTTAATTATGAACGCTGAAACATGCATTACTGATACAAACGTCTGGGGTGCTGATGCCAAAACTATCCTTAGAGAAAAATGCTTCTGTGACTTGACAAGAAAAAATGTCAAATAAATGAACACAACGTTTTGCTTAAGAATTTTTTAATGATTAAACATATATTTGGGCTAGGTGCGGTGGCTCACACCTGTAGTCCCAGCACTCTGGGAGGCCGAGGCAGGAGGATTGTTTGAGCTCAGGAGTTGGAGACCAGCCCGAGCAAGAGCGAGAGTCCATCTCATGTTATGGCCCAAACTCCAGCCAGCACAGAGGTAGAATGGTAGAAGGGAACCCCAACCCTTTTAAAGACACTTACCGGAAGTTGCACAAGACACCCACTCTACTGACTTCCCTCTGGCCACAAGCCAGCGTGGCTATACCTGTCTGTAAGCAACGGTGAGAAATGAAGTTTTCATTACAGGTGGCCAACGGCCCAGTTAAAAATAGAAGGTTCCATTACTAATGAAGGAGAGGAAAGTGGATACTGGGGATGACACCAGTTGTCTCTGCTACAAACGGTGGCTTCCCTGATCACGTATCTTACATAATCAAGAGGAGGCATTCTTTACTCTTCTCACTGTTAGACAGCAACGCGTCTTGCAACTTTTACTTGATCGTGATTAGCCCTTCTGTGCACTAGAACACATGAATAGCTCAGCTCAGCATTCTCTGTGACCTTTCTCATGGTAACATTATAGACACCTAATAAAACAATAAATGGTAATGAAGTGTTCCAAGTTGTGCGGCCTCCTCTGAATTAGTTTTATGGCAAAGTGAGTGAGTATCCTGCTTTTCATCTTATATTTGAGGTGTGAAGATGTTTCGTTGTCTCCTCTGGTTCTCATTATTGACTCTTCGTGGTAAAGCCATCGTTCTTTCCTCCATGTGGCACATACTTTTTGAGCACCCCATGCCTGAAAGTCTTTAACCCTTTGCACCCGGATGTCGAGTGTGACTCGACACGGTGAGCATCGGTAGCAGCTCGTATGTGGAGCCACACTCTTGGGGGAGGGGGGATTTCTGTCTATTTTTCCAGTATCTTTTCTTGTTTCCATTAGCATGAAAGGACAAGTAAGATGTAAATGCAGAGATGGTACACTAACTTCCAGGGGTAGATTATTATCCACCAACTTAGAGCAACGTTTAGATGGAAAGCTCCATGTAATCACACCTCACCTTAACAAAACACACAGAGATTGTGTTGTTTGTTCTAACAGAAAAATCAAAGGAGGAAGAAGAGAGACGATTTTATATTTGCGAAACATGTGAATGTAAACCAGGTCTTCATGTGGGTGAATGTTTCAAAAAATATCACACCACGAAAAGTTATAGAGATTAAAATTAGTCTTTGAATGTATCGATAATTTGAAATATTAAAAAATCCAAATAAATAAGTTTGTATGAAAAGAAACTCCAGTTTTTTATTCTACTGCCGCGCTTTGTAAAATCTGGGGTATTTAAAAAATTAAATCCCGAGTAGAATAAAGGAATCGAGAAAAAAGCAAGCGAGTGCAAAGGATTAAGCTGTATGCTGCAGAGTGTTACATATTTCAATAAGACATCTTCCCAAACAATCAAGGAGCTTGTCTTCTGGGGTGAAGTACACGTGGAGAAAATAACTCTGTGAGGTTCTGTAAAGACCAAAATCATGATTTTGGAATGTGCCATGATGAATAAGAGAAATAGCTCATTGAGTTGTGAGGGACTAGGAATAACAGGTGAATTGAAGAGGTAAAAATTTAAATTGGTCCTTTAAAATACAGGACTATTTAGCAGCTAGAGATGGAGTTTCTTTCGTCCTAGGTCTGCCGTGTTGCAGTCTGTCCTGTGATTTGTAACGTCTACTTGCTATTATTTTCTAAATGGTGACTTAAATGGGAAATATTAATATGTGTGGAGTATAATCATTTTTCAATTCTTTGCTTTAGGTATCGACTCATTGGTTCCCCATCTACCGCTTGTGTCCTCTCGGGCAATAATGTCATGTGGGATAAGGAGGCACCTATTTGTGAGAGTGAGTTGAAATATTTTTCTCCATTATATTTTTCTCCCTCCATTTGATCCTGACTTGCTCCTGAAGTTACAAAAAGAAATCTAGTCCTTCCTGCACAAAGCAATCTCTTAGATGTTTGAAAATAGGAATGAGGCGCTTCATGGTCTTCCTATCTTTTCTTTATCTTAAAAGGAATTTATTTATTTGAACTGTGGACTTGAACTCAGGTAAAATAGCCCTACTTTTCTACTTTGATAATAAACTCCTTCCCGTGCAAAGATCGTTCTCCTTAGTGAATAAATTTTAAAGATCTTAGGCAAAATTAGATCTTTGTCAACTCTTACTATCACATTACAATTCTAAGAAGTGAGCTATTCCCATTCTACTCTGACTACTCTTCTCATAATCCTTGCAATTTCCCCAAGACTCTGGCCATTTTGAGTTCTAATCTTCCTTCAAATTCTTTCAGGCTCCTGCTCTTAGTTGTATTTGTATTATAATTGATTAGCTGACCCTCCATCTTTCCCATGTGATATTTTTAAATGAACCTCCACAACTCTGAGAACAGGAAAGTGTGACTAATTGCAGTCTGGCCAAGTCTTAAGGTTGTAAAGAAATTAGCATCACACACAAGAGTTTATGGCAGCAAAAGTGGGCACAAACTTCTGGAAGGCTAATGACCAACATATACAAAAGCCTGAAAGCAAATACACTTTGACCCTGCAATCCTATTTCCAAGAATTTATTTCCCCAACCCCAAAATCATGTTCCCAGGATTTTGGTCTAAAGATACTCATGCAACAATATTTATGGTAGTAAAAAATGTTAAACAACCTAAATGTTCAGCATGTTTGAAAATAGCTAGTAGAAGAAATAAGGTTTTTTTTAAAATGACTATGATAAGAAAGATATCAAAATGTACCATGGAAAATCAAAGAGTATAATCTTTGAGATTATACTCAATAATCTTTGAGATTATACTTTGAGATTGAGATGCCTCCTCCAAGTGGAAATAGATAGTATATCCATACATCTACATGCCTGGATGTTATTCAGCCACCAAATATGATATTATAGAAAATATATCCATTCATGCATATGCATGTACACATATATGGATCTTAAAAGATACACATTAAATAGTTAAGAATACTTATCTGTGGACCATTCTCATTTTTTTCTTTTTGTTTTTCCATATTTTATACATTCCCAAATATTTCCAAAATAAAAAGACTTTTAAAGATTCAAAGAAGTGAATACTATACAAGGTACCTCCTTTACCTGCCAAGAATTTAAAGGTCTATGAAAAAATTCAAATCACTAAAGAATTATCAGTTTACTATAAAAGTTTTCTAGGCCTGGCAACTTTTTTTAGGGGGCTATCTTCCACAAAATGTGTTTCCACTTCTGTATCTATAGGTCAATGATCATTTGATTGAGTCAATTGGTTATATGTGTGTATGTGTGTGTAGTCACTCAAACCAATATTTTCAACATTATTATCTTATGATAGAATATAATTTACATCTATCATTTTATTACCTCTGAATCTATTATTATTTTATTTTTCATGCCTTATCTTTTATTTCCTTTTCTCTCTTTTTCTTGATATAATGCCAGAAGTAGAATATTTAACCTGCAAAGATATTATTTAATAAACAATATAAAAAGGTATCCCAGCAGTAAATACTAATACTTTAAAATCTATGATAAAGTCGCATGAAATTTCCACTTAAAATCACAAACATGTAAACCCTAATAATACAGGGATATTTTACATGAAATATTTATTATGTGCAGAAACCATATCATGCACATTTAAATTTCACCTGTGTAAAAACATGCCCGATTATTAGCAAATATGAGAAGAAAATAGGTGTTGTAATTAGTTTCAGTTTAGGAAATCATTTGACTCTGTGTATTTGTGATTTAAACTTATAGTAAAACAATTCACAGTTATAAAAATAACAAGCTGTTGTATTCCACACTCTTCCTTTTTTCAGGTATATCCTGCGGGCCACCTCCAGGCATATCCAATGGCAACTTCTACAGCAGCAGTGGGACATTTTTCCACCACGGAGCAGTGGTAACTTACCGGTGTCACACTGGGCCCGGTGGGGAAAAACTGTTTGACCTCGTGGGAGAACAGTCCATATACTGCACCACCAAAAATAATCAAGTTGGTCTTTGGAGCAGCCCTCCTCCTCGGTGTGTTTCTGTCAATAAATGCACAGTTCCAGAAGTTGCAAATGGAATTAGGGTATCTGGAAGCAGGAGTCTCTTTTCCCTGAATGAGACTGTGAGATTTAGATGTCAGCCTGGCTTTGTCATGCAAGGGTCGGACACCGTGCAGTGCCTGACCAACCACAGATGGGGACCTGAGCTGCCACGCTGCGTCAGGGGTGAGTTGGAGCCATTGAGGCTTTGCCAGGGGGTGAAAGTCGATGTAAGTGATAGGAGTTGTTGAAATTAAGGAAGAAATGCATGCGTGTGCAGGTGTGTGTGTATGTGTATGTGTGTGTCTAAGGGCTGTGAAATTGGCATAAGCACTCTAAAACTAATACGAGCTCCACTATCTGTTATCTCTGTTAGCAATTGTCTAAAAGTATCGGTTTATTCTATGTCTCATCTATAACACACACATTTTATATGCATCGTTTAGTTTAACACTTACAACAAATATATGGGGTAGCAACTATTCTTATCCCCATTTCACATTGACAAAACTGAGTCTTAGAGATGTTAAATTAACTTTTCCAAGGTCAAAGAGCTAGTGAAAAAACAGAGCAAGGCCTGGAATTCAAGAGTCTTTCTGACACCAGAGCCTAATGATAATACACAGTGAAGTGTATGATGATAATAATATATAATAATGATGATCCTATCCCTATCATTGGAGGGGGGCAGTAGGCAACCATGGGACCAAAATGATAGCATCACATTAAAAAGGCCTTGGACTTCAACTCCTCCACGTTAGTTTTGAAAAGTTGAAGCTTGGAAAGGGGGAAATGCCTTGCTCAAATCCAAACAAATTTTTTTTTTCATTTTCCTTCAGTTATGTCATATATGGTTCAGACTGAGGTGCCAATGCACTCTGATGTCCCGACCACCCACCAATTGGTATACGGACACAGCCAAATTAGGGGTTGAAATATTCACTAAGCAGTATGTCCTCTCATTTTAAAAGCCTGCAGCCTTTTTTTTCCCTTTTAGTGGATTTTGTTCTTGATCAGGGGTCCTCAAACTTTTTAAACAGAAGGCCAGTTCACTGTCCCTCAGACCATTGGAGGGCCGGACTATATAGTTTATAAAACACTATGAACAAATTCCTGTGCACACTGCACATATCTTATTTTGAAGTAAAAAAAAAAAAATACGGGCAAAAACACCCGCATGTGGCCCGCGGGCCGTAGTTTGAGGACGCCTGTTCTTGATGGTCTCTCTCGCCTTCTCATGTTGAAATGGCAGGCCCAGCTGCAGAGTGGGAAGAGTCAGCACTGGTCCATAGGGACAGCAGGGAAGCTATGGAGCAGCCCCTGGGTAAAGGACGAGCAGGGAGGGAGAATGAAGAAGGCTTCGCTGCACAGACTGGCTGCACAGGAGGCCAAGCGTGAGGGAGTCTGGTAGAGGAAGCTCGAGCAAAGGTATCCCTTGTGTTGCCTTCAAGATGATGCCAGAAAGGCTGCCTTTCTAGGAAGGGGCAGGGGGACAAGCCACCAGCACTCTTGACTGTGTAGGGAACGGCCAGTGCCTGAAAGCATGAGGAACCCCACTGCCTTGTTGTCTTAGGAGCGTGTTTCAGTAGGAAAAAACCCAAAGGAGGTGTTGGCGAGACCTAGATTCTCGTCGGGGCTCTGCTCTGCACCCTCAGTTTCCTCATCGCTAAATCCTGAGTACTGGAAGTTCGTGCAGCAGCAGCAGCGGCGTTGGTGGCAGCTGCAGCGAAGAGAATTTGAAACCATGTCTTGCACCCTTTTGCTGGCCCAGCCCACCAAGCGGCCAGAAGGCAGAACCAACTATGCATCCATGAATGGGTGCATGGAAGGTGTTTGTAAAATGCATGAAGAACATCTGAAGAGAGCGAATCCCAGCAACCCTCCATCACATATGATGATGGCAGGCAGTTGTTTTGATTTTTACCGACGAGCCGGCAGACCCCAGCCGCCTGGTTCACAGGGCTGACACCTTGTAACAGAGCCTGGGTTAAAGAGAGGATCTACCTGCTCCTTCCTCGGCAGGCCCAACAGGCCGGGAAATAATCGAGTTGGAAGCATGGGGGGGGGGGCTGCGGGCGGGCCTGGAACAAGCTCTCCGGCAAGCACAGGGGATAGCAAAAGAAATTCTCCCATAACAAACAAGTACATTGGAACTGTCCTTTCCACAGTGTGTCAGCCACCTCCAGAAATCCCACATGGTGAGCAAACTCCAAGCAACAAACGCGACTTTTTGCCCGGGGAGGAAGTCTTCTACAGCTGTGAGCCCGGCTTTGACCTCACTGGGCTGGCGTTTCTGCGCTGTACACCCCAGGGAGCCTGGATCCCGGGAGCCCCCACCTGTGCAGGTGCCTGGACTCTTATCTGGCTTGACATTTTTAGCTTGTGTCTTCATTCTCCACATGCCACTGTTATTTCCGTTTGTTTTCCTCTTTCTCCAGTGAAATCCTGTGATGACTTCCTGGGCCAACTCCCTAATGGCCGCGTGCTCGTTCCACTTAATCTCCAGCTTGGGGCGAAGGTGTCCTTTGTTTGTGATGAAGGGTGAGTGTGACCCAGAAGAGAGACCAGGGACTCAGTGCTGGAGAGTGACTCAAGCCTTGAGTTCAGAGGCTAATCCAAAAAGGGGGCTGACCTAATGGAAAGGAAGTACCCAGGGAGATGAACTTCTGGAAGGGCAGTTTTGAAGTAAGGGTAGGGAAGCAATGGCACTTCTACTGGGGGAGATAAAGAGAAAATGGCACGTGTAACTCAATGTCAAGTACAAACATATCTATAGTCACTGATCTTGATTTCTCAGTCGGAATTTGAAGTGAATGGGTAAGTAGTTAATTGGAGGCAACAAACAAACAAACATGTAATTTTATGGAAGTTTTTCTAGAAAAAAATGTTTGATGAATAAGACAAAAAATTTTTGCCCTATAATGAGTCAGGCAAGGGTTGTTTCAGGAAACTTAAAACCAATCAGTAGTGGAATTTGTAACAGCAGATGGATAAGTATGTTTTGATCTAATCATCTGTCTTCACTGATGGCTTTGGCATTGGGACAATAATGGCCGATGTTACTGTTTCAGGTGGTATTATTAGTTGTTTATGTGTATTTGTAACTCTTGGTGGTGTGCGCTATCAGTCTATGCGAAATAACAAGATTGGGAAATCGAGTAGTTTTTTTCTAATAATTTCCAAGGAATCTTTGGCATTTACAAAGTCCACCACCCATTGATGATTCCCGATTTCAGATCAATTTCAGATTTCAGAAGGACGGCAGGATCCGATAACGCCGGGCATTTCAGAGTGGCAAAGGCTCCTCCCCTCACCCTTCTTTTTGTTCTAGAACATTTGGGTCAGCGTGCTTCTGTGAGCCTCCTTTTGGCCCATAACAATTGCAGTAGCAAGGAGCGCAATGCCTGTTCTCTTTCCAGATGTTCTCTGCTTTGCTCACCAAATAGAGATCTGTCCTTCCTCATAACCCACTCGTGGGCACATGTGGGGTGTCAGAGGCCATCAACGAGGGGTGACCACTGAAGGGACAGGTCTTGTGCACACGGAGAAGGCTGGTTCAGCGTTCACTCCCTTCTGTATGTAGGTGATGCTGGCCGATGACATCCGTATGATGAAGCACATCAGCTCTGACTGCTTTGCCCGTCACAGGCTACTGTGAGTCTTTAGAATAATTTGGCCTCTGAGTGGCTGCCAGCTACCGAATCCAGATCACTAATGAACTGAGACTTTCAGGTGAGCCCGAACCTGAAACACCAAATGCCACTCAGCAAGGAAGTGCAGTGCAGTGAGGAAGCTGGGCATCTACCAGTGAAGAAACGAAGAGAGAGATGGGAATCGCTCACACATTGGCTACCGCTTTTTTTTCTTTAGGTTCCGGTTAAAAGGCAGCTCTGCTAGTCACTGTGTCCTGGTTGGAATGGATAGCCTTTGGAATAGCAGCGTTCCTGTGTGTGAACGTGAGTAGAAAGCACAACTATGCAGCTGGGTACCTCTCCTTATTATTATTTTTTTTTTCCTAACGTGTTTTGCCTCATGAAGTCACCTTGTTGTCTGGATCTTTATTTAACTAAATTACTGATAAAAATACTTCTTTACTGGAAGAATTGCAAGACTTGCAGGTCTCATAGATCATGTGTTTATGTTACTGATTTGCAAATCACTAGTTTAACAACAGTGTTGAATTTTTTGGGGGGCACACATGGGGAGAAAAGAGATAAAGGTGCACCCAGTTTTATTTATTCATTTGTTTGTTTAGTTTTGTCATCAAGGAGTAATGTGTCTTACGTTCTTATGTCCTTTTATCCCCTCACGTATCAACTTAATCAGCTCGTCACTTAGTCTGTAGTATTTACTGATGGCAGGCTTCCCATGTGCCAGGACTTCCCAGGTGTGGGAAGAGCAAAGAACAGGAGAGATTTTTCGCTGCTTTCATGGAGTCTGTTTTCTAGTTGGGAAGCAGACAATGAACATGAAAATAAATAAGTAAACATTTTTTAAAAATCAGAATATATAAAATGGTATGTTAAATAGTGATGTGTCATAGAGAAAATAAAACCGAGTTATATGACAAATCAATACAGTGCAGGGAGTTGGGGTGGCGAATCAATATTTGAAATGATGAGATGCCCTAAATTTCCAAACCACTCACTTCATTAAATAAAACACGGCAAAGAGTCAGAAATTGATAAATATGCTGGGCCCAGTGGCTCAGGCCTGTAATCCCCAGCATTTTGGGAGCCCAGAGCAGGAGGATGACTTGAGGCCAGGAGTTCGAGAGCAGCCTGGGAAACACGTGAGTCCCTATGTCTACAAAAAAATTTTTTTTTGTTTTTGAAATTAGCCAGGCATGGTGGTGCACACGTGTAGTCCTAGCTAGTTGGGTGGCTGAGGTGGGAGGATTGCTTGAGCCCATGAGTTCAAAGCTGCAGTGAGCTGTGATGACACCATTGCACTCCAGCTTGGGCCACAAAGCGAGACTCTGTCTCTAGGAGTAAAAAAAAAAAAAAAAAGAAGGTAATAAATAGATAAAAGTGCATGTTTTATATTCCAAAACATTATTGATTTATTCTACTCTATTCACTAAAGCAAGGCAAGAACTTTTTAAAATCTCTCCTGATGATTAGAAAATGTGTATTTTAATTTGGATTTTGTTAAAATACCCTACTAGATATCATTTTGGATATCTTGTGGTGATATATATTGATGAAACTTTATAAGAACATTTCATACATAGGAAAACTCGAGTATCTGACAAACTCAACCTTCCAGAGACACAAAAAGCTGAAAATAAATATGTAAGTAAACTTTGGATGAACACAAACAGATAAAATTCAGGCCCCAGAACTTAATCATTGTTTGATGTGCTAAGGCTCTTACTTTGTTTATATACACAACTGTGATAAACTTGGGTGTCTATTCCTAAATCCACACCCCATTAGAAGCATCAAATTAGTTTTAGTGGGGGAATAGCTCCAAACAGATACACTAAAGCAGGAAGAAATGATAGCTGGGAGAGAGAGAGAGAGAGAAAGGAAGAGAGAGAAAGAAGAGAGAGAAAGAAAGAAAAGAGAGAGAGAGAAAGAAGGAAGGAAGGAAGGGAGGGAGGGAGGGAGGGAGGGAAAGAAAGAGAAAGAAAGAAAGAAAGAAGAAAGAAAAAGAAAGAAAGAAGGAAGAAGAAGGAGGAAGGAAGGAAGGAAGAAGGAAGGAAGGAAGGAAGGAAGGAGGAAGAAGAAGAAGAAGGAGGAAGAGAAAGAAAAGAAAGAAGAAAGAAAGAAAGAAAAGAAGAAAGAAAGAAAGAAAGATAGAAAAAGAAAGAAAGAAAATTTAAAAAAAGGCTCTCTGAAGCCATTTGATCTGGGTCTAAAGATTCCTCTAGTTACCAATGTACTTTGATGACACTTTGGGCTACTTGGTATTGATGCTGATGATAATGGTCTTGAGTCACCAAGAAACATTTACTTCTGCTAAGGATGGTAATGCATATTTAATAAACTTCACAAAGATTTCCTTGCAACTTAAAAGGTCTCTGAGGGCTGAAACCTTGTCTTTCTTGAACCCCATTGTCAACCCAGGACTCCTACTATGCCTGCTGTAAAGGAGACAAACAAATGGTTGTTTAAAAAAATTAATTACTTTCCAAATTCATTAGGAACTTGGCTACCTGGATGCTTCAGGAGTGCTGTCTTTTGAGTTTTTGCAATAAACTATAATTTAGGTCTCACCTCAGTTAATTCCTTCTCAAAAAAAAAAAAAAACCAAAACAACCTTACATATGTAAATGCCATCCACCTTAGTTATGCTCTTTCTAAAAGACAAAATATTTATTCATAGCACGAAGGGCACCATTATTGTGTAGTCGTCTTCATTGAAATGCTAATAGAACTTAAAGTGTTTGTCTTCTTTCTAGAAATCTTTTGTACAAATCCTCCTCCTATTCTTCACGGGAGACACACAGGCACTCCTCTGGGGGATATTCCCTATGGAAAAGAAATATCCTACACGTGTGACCCCCACCCAGACACAGGGGTGACCTTCGACCTCGTCGGGGCACGCACCTTACGCTGCACAAGTGACAGTCAGGGGAATGGGATTTGGAGCAGCCCCGCCCCTTACTGTGAGCTTTCTGTTCCTGCAGGTCAGTACCCGCTTCCAAATATCCTAATCGGGGTCAGACTGTCAAGACAAGAACCTCTGTATCTCTAGAGTGACAATCAGTTTTGCTGGTGAACATGGCTTTGCTATGAATGTCAGAGACAGAACTAACTACCTCTCACGTGAATGACGGATGGGTTCTGGATGTGCCATGCTGTGTCCCAATGGGTGGCGTTCTGATGGCCCTACTTGTGGGCTGCGGGAGCCGTGGGGTGGTTAAGGAGAGGAGGGGGTGGGGCGTGGAGAGAATCGCTGAGGTCAGATCTTGTAGGGAATATTTTCAAAGCACTGAAAACAAACCCCAAAGAAAAGACCCTTTCATGCCATCTCTGCTCCTTCCTAGTTGTCTTTAGGCTGGCTAGATGGCTGTTCTGGCAAAAAGTACATGCCGATGGCATAATTTGTTAATATTTCGGAACCGGTGATGCTATAAAAGTGATTAAAGAAACCCAGATGTAGGTATTTATGCTCTTTTTGTTACTTCCAAGTGTTTGGTGCATGCCGCTGACTGCATTTGGTTGGCCCTTGGCCTCACCGTTAACTAAGAGCACTCAGGATAGGATGCAAAGTGGAGTTTGAGCCTGTGCTTTTAGCCTCCCGGAGCTCATTCCTTCTACATATCAGTCTGGCTTGAAATGACGGTGCCTGACCGTTGCAGGCTCATTTGTGGCTGTGATTGCCCACGCAAGTGTCATCCTCCAGTCGGGACAGAAGAGCATTGAGTCGGTAGCTTATGGATCCCTCTGGCATGCCCATCAGATGCAGGTTTCAGTGGCAAAGACAGAGGATGGCGTTTAAATGCCAGGAGGTCTAGGTTTAAAGAACCAGTCTTCCACTGATCGGCTGACACTTAGTGGCTTGTGACCTACCTGACTCAGGTCTTCATGTTCCTAACAGCCCCAGATTTTATCAGATGAGTTGGCGTGCTCATACTTCTGTGTTTCACTTACTGTCTCTTCTTGTGTTTGCATGGGATCGTGCTGTTAGCGTGCCCACAGCCGCCCAAGATCCAGAACGGGCATCTCACCGGACAACACGCCTCTCCGTATCGTCCCGGGACGATAGTCAGCTACACTTGTGACCGTGGCTACCTGTTGGTGGGAAAGGCCTTCATTTTCTGTACGGACCGGGGAACCTGGAGCCAACTTGGTCATTATTGCAAAGGTGACTCCTTTCTTGGTATTTCTTATTCCTTGCTGAGTTTCTATGGAGAACGGACGCATGAGGCTAATTAGGCTGAGGTCCTTCAAAAGACGGTGACTGAATAGGGCCCAGAGGGCAGTGAATTGAGTGTCAGTAGGGGAGGAGAAAGCAGGACAGAAGGCAGAAAGGAGGGCCGCCTACGGATCCTGAACTGCACAGAATAAGTGGGAAGAATAGATGGAATTTCCAGTAACACGAAAGACATTAGACACCAATTTTAAATGCTTTACTGGCTTTTAACTAACAGCTTTAAAGGACCTCAGAGCATCCCAGGTAGTCCTCACAGATACCCTTAGAAGGTAAATAAGGGACTGGAAGGTTCTTTGTTGTGAGGAATACTGAAGCTTGGAGCGAGGCAGTTTCTCGTCCACCACACGTGAGCAAAGAGATCCAGCGACTGATTTCTGGAATGGTATGAGGCCTCATTCCCATCCTCAAAACCAACGGGGAAAGCATTTATTTTATCTGTTCTTTGGAACAAGTCCTTAGGAATTATTTCCTTTTACTGTTTGTTTGTTTGTTGTGGGCTTTGTTTTTTGTGTTTGTTTGTTTTTGAGACAGGTTCTTGTTTTATCTCCTGGGCCACACTGCAGTGGTGTCATCCTTGCTCACTGTGACCTCAGACTCCTGGGCTCAGGCGATCCTCCTGCCTTGGCCTCCTAAAGTGCTGGGATTACAGGCATGAGGCACCACGCCCAGCCAAAGTATTCCCTTTATTCCAATCTATGTTTGCAAAAACACCGCCTGATTTTAAAATCTTTCTTGTCAATGTTCTAAAAGCTACAAAATGAGGAATGAAAATAATATCTTATGACTAGGATGGGCTCTGAGGTCTGTACAAAATTTTTTGTGTGTTAGTCTCCAAAAGAATCTGATGAGGTGGGATCATTCTTGCTATATCTTACAGAGGAGCAAATCAAAGTCAGAGAGATCCAGTCACTAGTCCAGGTCACACAGCTTGGGAGCAGTGGTACGAGCTGGACCCCAGCTCAGCTCCTGCTTCGAAACGCTGCACTGTATACTCTTTTGAAATGTGGGTCTCTTGACTTTGCAAAACTATAAGTTAAGTGATTTTGCCTTTTCTTTCTTTCTTTCTTTCTTTCTTTCTTTCTTTCTTTCTTTCTTTCTTTCTTTCTTTCTTTCCTTCCTTCCTTCCTTCTTTCTTTCTTTCTTTCTTTCTTTCTTTCTTGTTTTTTTTTTTGTCTATTCTTTCTTTTTCAAAATAAGGGCAGGGATGACGCAGGTGGGACTCAGAGGTGCCTGTGTTTCAAATGCTAAGGAGCAGCTCTGGTTGCAGGAGCCCAGGGCCCTCCCTGTCCTCAGAGTCTCAGAATCTCTCATCCTTGCAGCCCTCTCATTTTAGAGACAGAGAAAATGGGGCCCACCGCAGAGCGGGTAAGCGAGTCTCCCGTGCTTACCCGCAAGAATAGACTGCACGAAATACAGAGTCCTTGCGGCTCTGCCTCCAACCGAAAGTTCCTCCCTCTTTGCTTTCGCCACATAAGGAGGTATGAAGATTCGGGAAATATTTCAACGATTAATTGCACAAGTCGAGACTCTGGGAAGACCCTTCTCCTGAAAACAAAAGGGCAATATTCTATTCTCTTGGCAGCTGCTTTCTTGTCATTTGTATGAAATTCATTTTGTCCTACAGACGCTCGTCCTCAAGCGTGCTCTATAGCAGGTTTCTCCATCCTTGGCATGAGCAGCATCAGCCAGGAACCTTGTTAAAGAGACAGGTTCTCAAGTTCCATTTCATGGACTCGGATTCTGAATCGGATTCCATTTCGAAGGGGGGTCGGAAGTCCGTCTTTAGCAAACTCATCAGAGTATTCTGATGTAGGAAGACCAAAGACCACACTTCAAGAAATAATACTTTATTTATTTATTTGGTTTATATAAAGGGAAAACTGATTCTAGGCTAATTTTGAGACTATTACAATCGGGGAAAAAAAAGGCTTTGCTTGAAGTTGAAAGAGGGATTGATGGCTGGGCAGAAAAAGAAAGCAAAACAAAGGATGAGCTAAATGAGATAAAGTAAATGAAGCAAAAAGATGTGTGTATCTTAAATTCAGAATCATGATTTACCAATGTTCTTTGTCCTGTGTGTAGGAATGGGCTAGAAGCATGCATTTAATCAAGAGCAGAGACACCAGTGTTTGTTTGAAGCTAGGCAGTTAACAAGGTGGTCCTGATTCCTCATGGTGTGGCCAAGTGGCTGCAGGGCCAGAACGTGGTTGTCCTAATCGTTCCACAACTTTCTCGTTCGTTCCAAGGCTGTTAATAATACAAAATGGGTACTCAGTCCCGTCCATATTCTCTTTCTTTACATTAAGAAATGAAAGTCAGAGAATTTCAAATGTTCAGGGGAGGAAGATCAATAATTCCGGATTGAAAACCTTCCCCATCTTTGCCACGGACAGAGCAGGTTTGGGGTCATAGATCTTTCTGTTATGGCAGTTAGAACTAACAATTAACAATAAAATATCAATTTCCTTCTGATTTTTTAAATTTCAGAGGTAAATTGCAACCTCCCACAGTTTATGAATGGAATCCGGAAGGAATTGGAAATGAGAAAAGTCTATCACTATAGAGACAATGTAACTTTGGAGTGCGAAGATGGGTATACTCTGAAAGGCAGTCCCTGGAGCCAGTGCCAGGCGGATGACAGATGGGACCCTCCTCTGGCCATATGCACATCTCGTAAGTGCAAGTGCAAGGAATGTAGGCCCTTCCCAGGCATGGTTACTGTTCATTCATTCACACTGGCATCCAGTGTGGTGTGATGTCTATGGCATATGCTAGGCGCTGAGGGGTACAATATAAGCATCCGTCTCTGCCCAGAAAGCCCATCACAATGAGAGTCAGGCCAGCCTTTCTCTTCTCACAGTTCTCACCCCATCTCTGCACCTTTCTTGTTCATGTCATGCTACAGTTGCATGCATCACACAGTAAAGATTTATTTACAGCCTGTGAGCCTTAAAAGCCAGAAGCACATGAGTGGTAGAATAGGCCTGCAAGAAATGTTTTCAGCATGAGTCAGGGAGCGCCTTCTAAGCTGCAGAGAGCAGCCTGCCAATCTCCCTCATTGTTGTAAGTTACAGAATTTTAAACTAGCACAGCGGGAGGCAGCCTATGTAGACATCATGCATCATTGAGCTCTGCAGGAGAAGAGCCCTCTGCTGGCGACTGGAGGGTACTGTAAGATAGAAAATCCTGAAGCGTATACTTGCACGCATCAAGAACAGATGAGCAAAATGAATGATGAATAACTTTTCTTTACTCCAAGTTAGTGCTATATTTTCCCCTCTCCCCAGCTCTTATGAATCTAATTTATAAATACATGGTTATATACCAAGACTGTGCAGATCCATTTTTACAGTTAATCCCTTAATATTTCTACATTATAAACTTGACAGTCCCTTTATATCAAATTACATCCACTTCTTGGGCAAAAAGCTCATCGGCTAACCTCCTGAGAAAGGAGAAAGAAATTAGAAAAAATTTCAGTACACACTAGAAATCATGGAATACACTATGATATATCTACTAGACTCGATTAGTTTGCCTCAATTGTAATTTCCATTTCTATTATATAATTATGTGAAAACTTAGATGCATGACAAAAGGCACCAGAAGAGAATATACAAAAACATTTTTTGGGGTATTAGGATTATGAGTGATACTTTTCTTTTGTTCTGTTTTACAAATTTTAGACTGTAATTATATAACTGTTAGGACAAGAATTTTAATTTAAAAAGAAAAAAAGTCTTCATTGAGTGTGCAAGATAAAATGAGAGTGTGCGGAGTGCAACCACTGTCTTTTTATATTAGACAACAATATTAGCCAGAGTGCTGAAGAAAAATCAGGACTCGTTGTCACTAGTTGAGGGATCCTGTTCAATCACGTTGTGTGCAGAGACTGATGTTTTCATGGTTTTTGTCGTCCTTTTAGGCTCACGTGATGCTCTCGTAGGTGGTAAGTTTTATGAAAGGTTTGCTGAGGAATTCTAGCATCTTTAACAGTAAGTGTCCACTTAGAATGAATGAAATGTAAAAAGAGAGAGAGCAAAATATCTTGAACTGTCAATTCAATTAGAAAGAATATAATGATGAGTTGAGGGTGTGGTGAAACTGGTATCCTCACATGCACATAAAGTAACCTTCATCAAAAGTTCCTTGCCATCTTTGAACCATTACAAGTGAATAATTATTAATCAGTGCCAGAAATTCTTTATTTTAATGTGGCTGAAGAATGCAACTCCCTCCTTGGTTTATAACCTTGGAGTATGCTTCCAGATGGTAGTCATGCCTAATTGAAAGCCACGAGGCCATTTTTCTGAGCCCATTGCTGCAATCTGCCTGTATATGAAGAATAGTTTTGTAACAGAGTTTGCTTCCAGGGGCATTTCTGTTGCACAGAATAGCCTGTGTCTTATGTCTTGCATAAGAAACACGCGCAGGGCATGGACAGCTGGAGTCTAGCAGCGCCCCCTGCTGGTTCTCACCTGCTTGTTGAAAAGTTGCTATTGGACTAAAGATTACAGGACTGCTCTGCTCACCCCTTAACTATAACCCTGTGGTAGTAAGACTGATGCTCTAGATGGAACCCAGAGGAAAGCAGAATTTATAGTTACATCTAAAAAATAAATCATTGGCAAGCCCTAGTGGGACTGGATATTAAGATCGAGTTGAAGACCTCTGTGTTATTTTTTTCCATACATTTAATTACCTTGTTTTCCTGCCCTAGGTATTATCTTTGGTATTACCTTCTTCATTTTATTCATCATTGTTTCCTGTTGGATAATTCCAAAGCACAGAAAAGGGTAAGTACAGCCATAGTTTCCTGGAAAATGTAAACTGTACTTGCTCCTCTTTGAAGTCAAAGGGAGGTAAAAGAAAACTTAAAAACAAAACAAAAAAACATTGCTCCATAAGCGGATGGATGAAGTAATTCTTATAAAGAAGGTCCTTTACACATATTATAGACAGAGAAGTAGTCACAGTAAAAGAAATGTATACGATACTAAGAATGCTTTTTTTAAGCTTAGCATTTTAAGAGGGAATTGAGTTCTTACATAAAGAGAAAATAGGAATAAGGAGTTTCTTAACAAGATATGCATGAGGCTGTTGATATCCTAGTTTTGCTAAGACAATGCAGACACTGACCTCTAAACCCAGATCCTATCACAGCACTATAAATTAGGTTGTGTCTCCCACTGGCATATGTATCACAGGCTGCCACTGTGGAAGAATTGAGACTTTCCAGAGGGTATTTGAAAAAAAAAAAAATACAACAAATCTCTTCTGTAAGCACCATTTACCTTTGAAGTTTGCAAAAAAACAATAAAAACAAAAAAAAACCCAAAAAACAAAAAACAAACAAAAAAACCTTACAAAGATTAAGATCTGAATAAAGAAATGTGTTGGCCAGGGAAGAGAACATACACAGCTTTGGTACTGATTGATTTATTTATAACAAAATAAGTAAGGTCAGAGTTGCTAATATCAATGTTATAAGCTGATGAGCAAATTCTATACCCATGATAAACACAGTTCACAACTTTTAAGTGAATAGCTCTCTATAGCAAACGTTCTAAACAAATGTAGTTTCCTACCAGAAGTTTTGCAGAAATCAAAGTTTTGATATTTCACAGCAAAGCAAATACACTTTTTAAAAAGTTGATTGTCACAGTAAACCTTCTTGCAAACAACCTAGTCATGCACTCAATTTCATGAAAAAAAAATGAGTAGAGATTTAAATTTAAATTAAATCTTTATTCTTCCTAACTAATGTTCTCTGTATTTTGTAGCTCGACATGTAAATATTCTTTGCCCTTTTTCAGTACAAAAAGAAAATAAGATGCTTTATGTTAATAAAAGTACTTGTGTTAATACACTTTTCCTCTTAAAGTTTCTCATTAAGTACCACTATAATTTGTGAGTTAACTTTTAAAAATTTTTACGAAGGCTGAATTAAAGAAGTTGGGGCTTTTAATTTTTCTATATCTTTACCAGTCTCCAGTTAAGCCACTCAAGGAAAATGATGACCTCTTCCTCTTGAAAATGCCTCTGTCCTTCTAACTATTTCAACTGGGTCAAATTCCCAGATCTCATGACTGACTTGTTTCACCCATGTCATTTAAAATCATTTCCTCCTATTAATCATCTTCAGGCATAAACATGACAATAATTCTTTCATAAAGTTATGTCCTTAGAAATGGCAGGGAGAAGAGTCATGGTCCCCTTTAGCATTAAAAGTCAGGAAGGTAAACCTCCGGAACGTCTAAGTTAGCCACAGTGAAACCTGTTGCCTATGTGTCATCCAGGAAATTTTCAAAAGATTTTCTAAATTTTTATTTTTGGCCTGTTTCACTCCTTGGGAGGGTGAGTGCACGACTGTAACAAAACGCTGTTTATTTGCATGGTAGAAGTCATGCATAGCTAAAATTGGGGAGAGGAAGTACTAAACTTAAATAATCAGAACACAGAAGGCTTCGCTCTTGCAAGCCATTGGGCTGATTGATCATTCAGCAGGTGTAGCCAGTAATCTAAGCTGGCGGGGCTGCGTGAGGAAGGACTGATTATTCTTTATCTGGAGCTCAAGCTTTTCCTGCAGGAAGGTGAGGAGGGTATAAAGGTCTTCAAAGTAAAGAAGAAAGAATTTGTATGAGAAACACAGAATATAAAAGGGGGAACACCTTAGTAGTCATCTAGCCCAAAGAGCAGTTTGTTTCAAAGCTAAAAACAGACTGACATAGATACTAATAGACTAGTATAGATCAAGACGACCTGCTCCATGGGAGACCTGCAATCAAGCCAGGCCTGGAAGGGTGCACGATGAAGTGTCCCTCCCATCCAGGAGACAGTTCAGAAACTGCATCAGCAGTCTGAAGATGCACTAAGAAACTGAGACAGAAATAGAACGAATACACTCACACACAGACACAGAAATGATCTCACCTTCTTCAAAACATTCCTCAATGAGGCCTACTTTTTCCTAGTAAACAGTGCATCTCCTGATCTCTCTCATCCTGCTCTATTTTTTCCATAGCCTTATTCCCTCTTATAATTAATTAAGCCATTAAGTTTCTTTTTTATTGTCTCTCTCCTTCCACCAAAATGTAAACTCCATGTGGTCAGGGATTTTTGTCTTACCTTCACCAATGGATACAAAACACCTCTGAACTGTCCCTGGTGCAAAGCAGTATTCAATAAATATTTACTAAATGAATGGGTTTGGTAAACACCGCTGGGAGTGTTTCTGTTACATGGATGCCTTGTATTAATATAATGCTTAAGTCAGGGCTGTTGGTATGCCTGTCACCAGAATAATGTTCGTTGTACCCAACGGGTAAGTTTTTACTTACCTGTTACCTTACCACACCCCTTCTCCAACTCTCCCCACTTCTTGGTTTCTAATGTCTTTATATCTTTGTGGCCGTGTACACCCATCGTTTAGTTCCACTTATCAGTGAGAAGATGTAGTGTTTGGTTTTCCATTGCTGAGATACTTCAATTAGAATAATGGTCTCCAGTTCTGCCCCAGTTGCTGCAAGATACATTATTTCATTTCTTTTTATGGCTGAGTAGTACTCCATGGTGTGTGTGTGTCATTTTCTTTATCCACTCATGAATTAATGGGCATTTAGGTTGATTCCACATCTTTGCAATTGTGAATTGTGCTGTGATAAACATTCAAATGCAGGTGTCTTTTTGATAAAATGACTTCTTTTCCTTTGGGTAGATACCCAGCAGTGGGATTGATGGATCTACGTTTATTTCTTTAAGGAATCTCCATACTGTTTTCCATAAAGGTTGTACTAATTTGCAGTCCCACCAACAGTATTAAGCATTCCTTTCTCTCTGCATCCACACCAGCATCTATTGTTTTTTGATTTTTTAATAATGACCATTCTGATAGGGGTAAGGTGGTACCTCACTGTAGTTTTGATTTGCATTTCCCTGATGATTAGTGATGTTGAGCACTTTTTCATATGTTTGTTGGCCATTTATCTATCTTCTTTCAAAAAACTTCTGTTCATGTCTTTTGCCTACTTTTTGATGGGGTTGATTGTTTTTTCTTGCTGATTTGAGTTCTGTGTAGATTCTGGGTATTAGTCCTTTGTCAGATGTATAGTTTCAAATATATTCTCCCACTTTGTAGGTTTTCTATTTACTTGGTTAATTATTTCCTTTGCTGTGCAGAAGCTTTTTAATTTAATTGAGTCCCATTTATTTATTTTTGTAGTTGCTGTATTTGCCTTTGGGGTCTTAGTCATAAATTCTTTGGCTGGGCTGATGTTTAGAAGATTTTTTCCTTTGTTTTCTTTTAGAATTTTTATGGTTTTATGGTCTTTTACCCATCTTGAATTAATTTTTGTATATGGCAAAATATAGGGGTCCTGTTTCCTCCTTCTGCATGTGCCTATCCAGTTTTCTCAGCACCACTATTGAACAGGGCTTCCTTTCCCCAATGTATATTGCTCTCTGCTTTGTCGAAGATCTGTTGATTATAGCTATATGGTTTTATTTCTGGGTTCCCTATTCTGTTCCATTGGTCTGTATCTCTACTTTTATACCAATACCATGCTGTTTTGGTTACTAGAGTCCTGTAGTATAATTTGAAGTCAGGTAATGTGATGCCTACAGATTTGTTCTTTTTGCTTAGGATTGCTTTGGCTATTTGGGTTCTTTTTCATTCTCATTTCTTTACGAAACAGCCTACTTGTTGTCCACAGTCAGATAAAATCATAAAGTGTTTGTTGGTATGATGCTTGGAGTGACAAAACTATGAAGTCCATCTTCTATAAAGGTTCCCTGCATTTTCCCATGTTTGCACTAACCACCAGTAATCAACCAGATAGCCATTTATTCAACATATACTCACGGAGGTTATAGATTCTCCCACACCCCATGCACCACTCACCACCCAACACCACTTTCAGACCATTACTTATCGAACCACTAAATCACCACTCCTTGGACGCTCACACCATCTGGTTATACAACCCTCTGCTCTGCCTCTTCCATGGCCCTCAAGTCAGCCTCCCTCATCCTGTGACAACTCTGGCCACTGACTCACAGCCTTCCTCTTTGTGTCAAGAGCTGCCATCATCCTAATTTCCATGAGAGGGTAAAGAGTAACCCAGCGATGAGGAAGTAGTGATAAGTGGTGACGTGAGTTAACTCTCTGCTGCCATTCTTAGATCCCCAATACCAGCTCATATCCAAAATCTGAAGGCACTGGTATTGTATTATTTATCATTTCATTGATGTAAAGTGAAGTGTTTATTTAAAGAAACCCAAGAGGCAGTGTAGCACACCAGGTGAGAGCAGGGGCTCTGCGGGCAGCGTGTTCACTGTCACTTACTAGCGAGGGGACCCTAAGCAAGATGCTCATCCTCTTTAAACTTCATTTTCCTCGCCTGTGAAACGCGGACAATTATAGCACCTACCTCACATAACGCAGAGCCTTGCGTATGATGAATGTTGGAAAATGTTAGCGGCTATTTTACACATGATGGTTATTACTGATATTAAAAAATGATTAAATACTCATTTTAACTGTCGGTTCTTATATACTTTTATGACAGCCACTGATGCTCTCCTAACTGTGGGTATTGCCTGTACAGAAAACAGAACATATATCTTTACTATATGAGAAAAAGGAAGCCTTGTCTAAGATTGTGGGGCAAAGCCACTTATATGGTGAAGCTTAAGTGTCAAAATCTCAGGGGTAAACCATATTTACTTATCCAAATTATTTTTAGAAATTGTGAAATGTGTTTTTTTTAAGGCATGGACACCTGCCTACAAATAATTTAAGAGTCTTCTGACACAATATATAGGGTGGTTTGGGTATTATTTCCTATTCCACGTTTTACTTGGTATCAAAAGATGAGATTTGGTTATGATTTTCCTTTTAGACATCTTGCAAAGAGACCAGGAACCTGAGGCAAATTATAGCCTAGATTTCAAAATGAAGGTTACTAATTTCTTTCAAGACAGAAATTGAAATGATTAAGATAGTTTTTCTATTTCTTTTCTGCCAATTAGCAATAAAACAGATGAAAAATCTAAAGAAGTGATTATCCAATTGCATCCTTCAGAAAGGCAACTGTGATCATCCTCAAACTCTGCAAACAAATCAAGAAAATAGCAGGTACCTAGACACACACTGAATTCAAAATGTTTTCAACAACTTCAACTATTACAAATGTTAATGGGATTTGAATATGATCTTACATTAGGTGGGTCATTGATACCAAAGAAGTTAGAAAGTACTTCAGGAGGTGGAAGTTCCTTTATTTTTTTCCCCTTGGATTATTGTTATTTCTGATGATTTTTGGGTGATGACTGTCAGTGCTGTGCACAGGCACTGTGTTTTCAAAGCATTCCTGTACGTCTGTGTGCTCAAGCTCTGAGACTTTGAGAAGTAGTATGTTTTTCTTTTTCTTGTGGAACCCAAGCACTTGCTGCCTGCGTGTACTTCCAAGCCATCCAACTTCCTTTAAATGCACAGAGTCTCTTAAGGGTCCTCTAGCAACTTCTGTTTTCCCTCCCTGTGCCTTGCTGTCTCCTTCGTTTCTGGCTTTCACTGAATTCTCTATCTCACTTGGCCTCACTTGGCTCTCTTCTATCTGTCCCCCTCCACTTGGGCTTATTTCAATACCTACCCCTTCATTCTGCCAACTTAAAAAAGCAGCCTTCCCACAAGCTGTTGTATAGTACATGTTTGCTAAAGGTTTGGGGCAAAGAAGGAAATTAAACCACAATGGAAAGTGACACACAACAAAAAACTGAATATCAGAAATCACTGAACCAAAAAGCTACTAGCTCTACTAGGGATCGGAAAACTACTATCTGTGAGTCAGATCTAGCTGGCCACTTGTTTTTATAAACAATGTTTTACTGGGCTACAGCCGCACCCATTCATTTACCTATTGTCTATGGCTGCGTTTGCACTAGGACAGAGTTGACCAGTGGCAACAGAGAGCCAGAGACTGCATGGTCCATAACGTGAAAACTCTTTACTATCTGGCCTTGTAGTGGAATTGTGTGGCAACCCCTGAACCATATCCTACTATGAGGAATTTCTCTCACTGGCTACTCTCCCCTTGAGCCTTGGCTTTCCATCCTTTTCCCAGGCCTCTTTCTCTTTAGATTCCCCTCTCTTTTGTTCAAATCTTGACTGCATTCTCAGGGTACCTCATTTGATTGTTGGGCTTCTTGCAAATTCAAAACTCAATTTTTTTTTTTAATCATACAGAGCAATTGATTTGGTTCATGCTCACTCTGGCTATGCCCAGGAATTCTAAAATTTCCTGACCATAGGTATTCGGGACACTTTCCGAAACAGTATCAACATATGCCCTAGAAAGGAATTAGGCCACTCCTATAGAAAGTGGAAGCAAAACTATCACATTCGTTACTAAATTTCTTTTTATGTCCTACCTCTTATATCAATGTACATTAATCTAAACTGGGCACGTTATACCTGCATACATGTCAGAAATCTTAGATTTAACAGAGAATAGTGGAAGAGGCCACCGAAAAGGTAAGGGGCTGGGAAAGGCATTTTTATAGTGAACCAAGATATAAGTATAGGCAACTCATATTTTTCTAAACAAAACAAATACAGGTTATGTCCTATTTTCTCCTATAATAGAAATGAATTTGCAATGCCTTGTTTATTATCTAGCTTCCTAGTCACTTTGCTTCTACCTTTTGGCTTACTTTTCATTACTGTTTGTGAAAATAAATGAAATAGGCATTGCTTTCATAAAAATTCAGAACTGATATTTTACTTTTTGAAGCCTTTAATAATCATTTAGTCTGATCCTTCTTCCAATGGGCAGGCACGTATGCCCTGGGGATGCCCAGTTAATAGACCAAGGGGAAATACAAAAGTCACGAGATGAAACTGGCATGGCTTTCTAGGAGAGTATCTTTGTCTAATGTTAATCCAATAGTTCCAGGGAAAAAAATGGCATTATTTCTATATTAACACAAATACACATATAAGGGAACAGAAGGCAAACAATGCAGGAGAATTTAAGATAAAATAAGATAGATAATAGCATGCTTTCCGGGATGCTTTAACTTATGCCTGCAGGTTCTTAGGTGAGACATCCATTCTCCTTTGCTATTGGGGTGCTCTCAGGGGAAAGTTGTGCAAAACTGATGAAGGCCAGCCATGTTGCTACCAAGTATAAACAGACAAAAGAACAGCAGACTGTAAGGGAAATGATTATTTTTTTTATAAGAGTTCATTTTTTAAATATTACATAGTACTAAATAATTTGATTTGGCCTCATTCTTGCCAGGTTACCTGCCCAGAACACTTTTTCACCTTTCTTCCTATCTCAGTTTCTTTAACCCAGCTCAGGATTCACTCACCTGAGAAGCTTTCCAAAACAACTCCAGTCCAAAGTGATGACTCTCTTTGAAACTCACACTTCTGGACTATACTATTTTTCAAATGAACTGTTTTCTTTTAAGAGTAATATGAACTTATCATTAAAAAGAGGAAATAGGGAAAAATATACAACATATAAAAATTATCTGCAATAACCTCCATAGTCATTAGCATTCTTAAGCTTCTTTGCGTATTATTTTCCACTTGAGATTATCTTGATTGTACAATATTAAATCCTGCATTTTTTCACCAAATGACAAATATTTTTCCAATTGTTGAAACTGTATATAAACATACCTCATAGTATTTGACATTTCATGTATTGTTTTTGCCTATTAACTTTATTGCATTCATCTATTAATACTTGACATTTATTCTTCATTCATTAATCACTTATTGTGTACTGTACATTGTGCTTATAGGTGTTTTCTTTCCCATGCTAAATTATTAATTCTTGTAAGTAGAGACCTTTTTTTAAAAAATTTCCCCAAAACCTCTAAGTATAGTGAATTTAAATGAGAAAAGTTCAGTCAATACTTGAGAATGAATCTATCAAAGTTTCACTTCTTCTCAACTTTTTGGAAAAACATTCTTTTACATCAAAGTACATTTCAAATTGTGTACATTGACTATTGATTACCTTTTAATAGAAAGGCAGGAAGTCCTTAATAATTTTGTCGCAAACTTCCCTTTTAAGATTGGAATTTTTATCACAGTGTTCCACAGGAACAAGGTTAATCATTTGTGGCAAAATATGGTAGGTAAGGGAGTGGGTTGGAGTCTGTGCCCAGCGTGAGACCTGTGCAGCCGGATCAGGTGCCAAGGCAGAGTGGGTGACACTCTGTTAAAGAGGCAGGCTGCAAATACACAGCCATGTGTGGAAGGACATGAGAGTTTTTGGAAGAGACACAGGTAACAGGTGAAATCAGAAAGTCTTGTGAGATAGAGAATAATGACAAGGAGTCAGGCATCTGTCGTAAGGGGAGGTGGCTGTCGTGAGGGGAGGTCAGGTGAGCTGGTGGGCTGGGGTTTGTCCACTGCTGGAAGGACACCATTCCTGGCCTTAAGAAGAGAGGCTCCAGTATGGCCAGAGAAGCAGTCAGGTATCTCACACTGAGTACACTACGCCAGCTTATTCTTGACTGTAATTAGGAGAGGACATGCTTTCTGAAGCTGACCCTCCTCTAAAACTACCAGCTCCTATTTCTGCTCCCTGCCACTACCTTGGTTCAGAAGAGAGTCAAAAAAAAAATATCTTTTTGTGTTACGAGTGACCTGCATGTTTTCTGGGAACGAGGCTTGTTTTGTTTAGTTGCTCAACTCTGAGAATACTTTTCTCTCTGACAAAAGAACAAAGGAAAAGGTCAAGTTACTCATTAATCTCTCTCTTATCTACTCAATGTCTCCATTTATGCCATACTTTCTTGTGCCCTCCATAGCAGTCGGGGCAATATAAATACTTCTAATAATCTTGTCATTTATGTGTCATGCTAGCACCATGATTTCAGCATATAAATTCTGAGTAGTTCAGGTGGCGATCATGCTGTTATAAAAATAAACATATCCTGCTATTTCAGTGTCCTTGCCTGACAAAGTATGCTATGAAAGCTGGAGAACACCTTGAATTAAATGTTGGTTGGAAAGGAGCCAATTCATTTCAACAGAATAAGATCTGAGAGTCATAAAGTCTTTGAAGTGACTTCACAGAGACGACTTGGACTGGAAGATGCTGAAACTCTCCCAGCACCTAGCAAAGCTCCTCCTTCTTTAGTCTGCTTTCCTGTGACCCCCTCACCTTCTGTCCTTGTGCTAAAAGCCCACATCATCTAGTCAGGAGAATGACTGCAGTTAGGATACAGAAAATAGTTTGGATTACTTAAAGAAAAACAGTGTCGCCTAGGATTTCTGGTTTACAAGTTTGTTGTTTTTTCTTATTTGAAAATATTCATCATATGGAATGGGCTCATTAAGGAGAATTGGAAAATCCAGGAAGATACAAAAAAAAATATATGTCACATATAATTATACTACCTAGTGATAACCACTGTTAGAAATTTAATTCATTTTCTGCCAGTCTTTTTTTCATATATGTTTATATATATGTATCCTTTTTTCTTAGTTTCCTTTTATTTTATATAGCAGAACCTACTTCTTTAAAACAGATTGGAGTAAGACACATGCTATATTAGTTTTCACTTTCTCTAGGGAAAAAAGGAATTTCTGTTTACCAAAAAGGCATTAAATGATTGTGGGGAGAGTGGTCAAGACGACTCTAGAGAAAAAAAATTAAGCTTTGGATATTTCCTAAGCTCTATTTCAAAAGCACTTTGTTCTATATTCTGCATAAAAAAGCATACTAAAAATTAAAGTAAAAGAGTAATCGTTATTTTAAAAGTAACTAGCTTACTTTTGTGTTGATTCAGAATATACGAAATTAACTACAAAAAGCACAACTTTTAAGAATTTATCAAAATAATAGACATGTACTGACACTTTTTAAATAAGTGACATTGTAGTTTTTACCTAGTCCACATCTTTATAGATCAAAATTTTGTTACGATATATCATTATATACTAATGATCTCTAGAAAATATCAGAATATTTCTGGATATTTAATAATAACTTTGTATATGGCTACTGCTAATTTTTATGTAATTCTATGTTTTAATAGTTGCTTTAAAGGTAGATTCTGTAACATTTATTTTGACAGCAATGTAAGGAATGAGCTAGATATCAACTTGCATTTTAATTTAAAAATCATGCAAACTAGGAAAAGAAAAAACCCAGCATAAACAAAGGTTAACTGACAAACTGCAAGAAAAAAACGCAATTTATATCACAAAGGGTAATTGCCTTCTTACTTAGACAGTTCTTAAAAATTCAAAGGCCTGGGCCAGGTGTGGTGGCAAGCCTGTAATCCCAGCACTTTGGGAGACTAAGGCAAGAGGATCGCTTGAGGCCAGGAGTTCAAGACCAGCCTCAACAACCCAGCAAGAACCCATGTCTACAAATTTTTTTTTTACAACATTAGCCAGGCGTTGTGGTGTGCACCTGTATTCCTAGCTATTGAGGAGACTGAGGCAGGAGGGTCACTTGAGCCCAGAAGTTTTAGGCTTCAGTGAGCTATGATCGTATCACTGCACTCCAGCCTGGGCAACAGAGTGAGACCCTGCCTCAAAAAAAAAAATGTAAAGACCAAGCTCCCCCTTCCCTCCAAAACATAGGTAAATGACAAACAGCCAGCTCACCAAGAAAGAAGGGCAAGTAGCCAAGAATATATGAAAATATACTCAGTGATAGGATTTTTGCTCAGTTGGATCTTTTAGCAAATCTCTTATTTTTTTGGATTTTGAAGAAGTAACTCGTAAAGGAGGACTAGAAATAGATGCTTAAGAGTTTGCCTTTCTTAGAATTAAAATCCCCTATCACAAGAAAAAAATCTATATTTTTTTCCAGAATGGAGTAGGTCAATGAGCAATATGATTAATAAATATCTGATGCCTGTGACCTTTTAATTGCAAGAAAGTCACAAGATTTTTTCCCCCATTATATCAGTTATCATGGGAAATACTATATATACTAGCTATGGGTAAATTACTAAGCTGTCAAACTTTACTTGTATTATTAAGCAATTCTGTTCATCTCTGGCCTTACATTTTCATCTGAAAAGCAAGGGCTGGACCAATTGCTCTCCAAAGCTATTCCTAGTGCTAACTTTCTAACTTTGTTTTATTTTGCTTTTTTTGTGCACTTAAGTGTGAGGTGTTAGTTAAAGTCTAAGACCTTTAAATGAAATTTTCTATCTCTACCATTATAATGAGAAATGAATAAAAGACTGTATCTTTGCAAATCTAATTATAGAATATGGTTTGCAATATATTAGTATCTACCTTTTAAAAGCCTTCAAAAAACAAGAGGAGACAAAATTAATCATTTCTCTGTACTTGATTGTTTGCAGAATCCCTGTGTTGGGTGTGGCATGCCACATTAATGCTCTTGCTTCTAACAGGAAGGAAAATCAGACATGGCCAACCATGAATGTCAATTGGCTGGCAGGTGCTTACCAGGTGAAAATAGAAGCCCATTCATGCTGTTACACTCACTTCTGAAAAGCATGATATAAATACAGTATACCAATTCAACAGGCAAAGAATCATCTAACCTTAAATCTTAATGAAGAAGTTGGCCATGATTTAAATGACATCCCCACACACCAACCTCCACCCCCACTACCTTTCATAAAGCCTTAAAAGAAACCAACACATAGTTCTAAACCTCATCCACAAACATACATATCCTCCATTCTCTGCTTTGCTTCTCTTTGGCAGTTTGACAAAAGCTTTACAGGGAGTTGGGGAAACCACTAGTGTTTAATCCCCTACTTCATTCAAAACCTTGACTTCACTCTGGGAGGCCGAGGCAGGAGAATCGCTCAAGGTCAGGAGTTCGAAACCAGCCTGAGCAAGAGCGAGACCCTGTCTCTACTAAAAATAGAAAGAAATTAATTGGCCAACTAAAAATATATAGAAAAAATTATCCAGGTATGGTGGTGCATGCCTGTAGTCCCAGCTACTCAGGAGGCTGAGGCAGAAGGATTGCTTGAGCCCAGGAGTTTGAGGTTGCTGTGAGCTAGGCTGATGCCATGGCACTCTAGCCAGGGCGACAGAGTGAGACTCTGTCAAAAAGAAAAAAAAAACAACAACTTTGACTTGTTGAGTTCTACTCCTGTCAGGGCCTCAGGAAGTTCACTGTCAACATTCTCCCTTTGAACCCAGTCACTAAAATGATCTCAAAGCTAAGGGGTAGACAGTAGCTCTTCACAAGTAAGCTTGCAATACCCGACTCAGGATAGTTTTCTGTGCAGACAGTTGTAGCTCATTCCTTTTAGAGATAAATCCTGCCTTATTTCCTAGTGTTTAACATTATTATAATCAAAATCTCTCAGAATTTTACCAGCATCTAGCACATCCATGCTGGGGAGAATTGGCAGAGACATGTTAAATGCACTTGATAGCATGAACCATTTATTTCGTACAATAGTTACCAGGAGTTTATTGTACACCTACTACAGATTTTGGCACTGGAGACACTGTAAGAAAACTCTATCCCTGCCTTGTGAATTTGTTTAGAAAAATAGGGAACAAGGCTCAGAATCTTTCAAATGGAGCCTCAGTTGGGTCAACTCAAAATAAGTTTTAAAAAAATTCAATGTCAAAGTCTTCAAGTATATTAAGAATGGCTTGATGAACCCTAGTCACAGAAATTCCACTGACTGAAAGACAGTTCCAATAAAATACCAATCTCTGAATCTAATCCAGCACTTGAAACTGGGAAACCAGATATGAGCCATATTTTTTTCTCCTATCTTTTACATTTTCTCATGACCAAAAAGAAATCTTTCTTCCAAGCCTTGACATAGATGGGGGACTTTTAATATTTATCTTTGCAGGGAACAATAGATTGTTTTCACAAAGAAGTGCCAACATTGAGCCAAAGGAACTTACTATAAGAATTAACAGAAATAATAATTCTCCCTGAGTTTCCTATTCACTGTCTCCTTAATTATACTTCTTCTAATTGCCATCATGGAATATCTGGACTTTATAATCCAAGATACTAAGGTGTTTATTTGATATACCTCCTCCACACTTCAAGTTTTATATTCTCTGCCAAGAATTTAAAAATTTTTGTTGATCTGACAGGGAGAGAAAATTCCATGGTTTGATGAACCCAGTAAGTTTTCAGTAACATCTCAGGTCTAGGGCTGTATTAAATACATATAAATTCTATAATTCCAGAAGACACATTTGAGGTGTATACAGTAAGCCTCCATTTCCTCACCATCATCTCATATCTTAAACTTGTGCAATACAAGTTTCTACCCCCGTCATTCAATGAACAAAACAGCCCTTGATATATGGATTGGATTTTTAAAAATTTTTTCTTTGCCTTATTCTAAATGTAACATAGGGTTAATATAGAAAACTTAGAAAACTGAAAAGCACAAAGAAAATGAAATATCTATAATACCATCAACTATATTGTTAATTTCATTGTATTTCCAACTAGTCTCTTTTCTATGTGTATGTATCATCAATATGGTACTTTTGTTTTAATAAAACGAATGCCAAAAGGCACATACTGATTTGGAGTCTGCTTTTTCCACTTACAAATATAGTTTCTCATGTTGATAATCTTTTTCAATGCTTGCTGCATAGAATTCCATTACACAGAGGTACCTACCACAAATTCCTTAATACTGTTGTTTGACACTTAGGGTTTACATTTTTTCCAGTATTTTAAATCTTTGCTCACAGCTTTGGTGATTTCTCTGGGATAAACTCTTAAGTGGCATTGGTGACCTAAAAGTCATGTCCACTTTAAGACTTTGAACATACTGAAAAGTTTAAACTTTCCCCCTACACTATAACTTTTTTTTTTAATTCTTTGCCAATCTGAGAGGAAGAAAATGTCAACTCATTATATTTGCTCTTTTAATGCCAGTCATGTTCTTTTTCCTTTTGCCAGTCATACAGGACTCACAGCTCTACAAATCGATCTTCCTCATTGTATTATCATTTTCCCAGCATCTTCCAGAGATTGTTTCACCAGCGAAGTTCTCCCCTTTATCCAATTCACCTAACCAATCCCCACCCACTCCAGATCCTATGGAATTTGTTTCCCGCAATTTGGCACTCAGCACACCCTTGTCCTTACATTTTTCATGAATGTACATTCCATCTTCAATAAAACATTCAGTTGCTCAAGGACAAGGGCCCCACAGAGTCCCAATATACTAATGGCAGGCACGGTGTTGGTGTTGCTTAATAATTCATATTCCCATGGGACCTCTCAAGGGAGTAGAGGCAAGAGCAAATGACATTAGGGGTTGGGAGTGCAGTGGCCAGATCTTTGAGATTTGGAAAACTAGGAGGCCCTGAGACAATTCGGTAGCAGGCATTTAAGCAAGGAACGCTTAAAATACAGTCCCTAATAACGCCTGACTAATAGTGACAAATATGGACTAAGGGCCCCGGTAGGCCGGACGGCCTGGACTACGCGAGGGTAAAAAGAACCCTGACGGGTGCTGGCGCAGGGTGACCCGCTGCCTTTGCTCTGGGTCTCTATTTTTAGGTCGACGTCCTCTAAGATTCCAGTCCTGAGTTTCCGGAAATGATGACCCTGCCAGCTCAGTTTCCCTTTCACCCTTCCCGGGTTCCAGACCCCGCGGGGAGCCGGCCCTCTCGCCCGCAAGTCGCTGCGCACTTCCGGGTGGGTCTGCAGGGGACCTGGCGAGGGACGGCCGGGCGCCGGGGAGGAGCGGACGGCGCCCGCGGGACCCCGCCGGGAGCCCCGGCCCGGCGCGCCCCTCTCCCCGCCGATTGGCTGCGGCCGCGCGGCGCCGCCTGCTTTCCGCCCCGGCGCGGCCCCGCCCCGCCCACCTGCTCCGCGGCCCCGGGCACTCTGTGGTGTGGGGATTGTTGCGTGTGACAGCTGGACTCGGGAGCGGTGTGCTGCCCGACCGGCGCTCAGTTTCCCGCCGGACGCCAGAAGAATGAAGGCGTCATCCGCGCCGCGCTGGGCGCCTCCCCGCCGCTGCGAGAGTCCCTCTCCTTACCTGGGCTTCCTGGGGACCCTTCTGGGGGCCGTGGCGTTGCTGCTTTCCACCTGCTCGGGTAGGTGGGAGGCGAGTGCCCTGGAGAGCGAGTGCGCGCCCGCCGCCGGGCCGGAGCCTCGCTCGGCAGGGGGCGCGGGGCTGGCGCTGGGGACGGGCCAGGGCTCCCCGGGGCGCGAGGGACAGGGCGCGCGCGTGTGTGTGTCGGGCTGGGGAGTGCGGAGCGGTGCCCCAGGCGAGGGCGTGCCCGGGAGTGCCCAGGTGCGGGGGAGTGTTGCTACCGCGTTTCCTGGGCCGGGAAGGTGGCGCCTTGGCGAGCCGGTGTTCGTGCGTTAGGGCCCAGAGGTGAGGGCTGCAAGCGCGTCTCCTGCGCTCCGGCGGCGGGCTGGGCCGGGCGACACGCCGGCCAGGTGTCGCTCCGAGTGTGCTGTGCGCCGGAGGCCTGCCCTGCGGAGCCCGTGCGTGCGGGCCGCGACGCTCCCCGTGCGCTTTGTGCGCGGTGCGCGCGCGGGCTGTGTCTGGGGAGGGTAGGCTGGGGTCATTGCCCTCGGGCTGGGGAGCAGGCCCTTGGTGCCTGGGGTTAGAAGGATGGGAAGGGCCCGCCATGCTTGTTGTACTCTAAGTGAACAGTCTCCTATTTGGTCTTGGTTTACAAGTGGCTGGCATTATCTTTCTTCTTCTCCTCCTCTCCCTTCTCCTCCTCTAGGCATCTTCCTGTTTCCTGTTTCCAACCAGTATAGACAGTATCTGATTCTATTACCTAATGGATTTTTGGCGTTGGGTTTTTCCTCTTTTCATCAGTTTGGGTCATATTTGAGATATGTGAAGCAACCTGAAAAACACTAGTAAACAAACCTAGTGAGAAATTAGAATCAGAAGAAAAAACAATAAATAGTGTTAATCTGGTTGGTTTTCCCCTGCAGCTCATAAACTAAAGCTGAACACCCATCCCACTAAAGTTTTGTGTTTAATTGAATGGAATAAATACTTTTAAAAAATACATGCTAAAAAAGTACATGCCTGTATAAAACACAATCAAAGGACAACCATTCATAATATTATGGTGTGTTTCCTTCTGACTTGTATGTGCGCCTCATGTGTTTCTAATTATATTTAGGACCCTATTACATATACAGTGTGTATGCTGCATTTCTTTTCTTAGCAGCATTCATTCAAAAAATATTTATCTCATACATGCCAGGTTCTGGTGATAGGCAATCGCAAACCATTCCCATCTCCATGATCCTTATTTTACTATGTTTATACACACATACATGCAGGAATATAAGCAAGGACTTTGTTTTGTTCGTTGTTATGTCCCCAGTGCCAGCAATACAAGGAATCAATCACTATTTGCTAAAATTTAATGGGACGTTCACTCTAAACATCATTCTTTTTAAAAAAATTCAAAGCAATACTATTACAAATAGTGCTATCATAGATCAAGGGAAGTGCTCTGGAAGAAAGCGGCATGATTCTCTGACAGCATTTAACAAATGACTGAAGGCAGGGAAGACTTTTTCCTGCTTAATAACACAGGTCAAACTCTACTGCTCTAGGGCATTTGCTCTTGCTGTGTCTTGCGCCTTGGAGCATTCTCCTCCTGACTCACTGTAACATTGGCTCTTTCTCAGCCTGCACACTCCTTCTCTGGCCACTCTTATTTCAAGTAGACACCCACCCACCCTCCCAACTCCCCCCAGCTTGTAATCGCCTTTCTAAAACTGTTTTTTCTGTTCCCTGTGTCTTCCCATCCGAATGGAGAAATCTTGTCTGTCTTGTCACACTTGTGTTCCAAGTGCCAATTTTTTTTTTGCCTCAGTATTAACACTGACTCAGTTTCAACATCTGTTAAGTATCAGAAAATTAAATATAGTATTTGGCTGGAGCTTAGATAGAGCCTAAGAAAAAATTCCTCCTGCTTCCAGGAGGAAGGTTCTTTAAGGAGTGATGCTTAGGGTGGCTTTTCTGTGGTACCCAAAAAGCTAGCGCAGGGGCAGCTGAGGGTCAGAAAGTATCTGTCTCCGTGTCTATGTAGACTCTCCAGGGATTGCAGGACTCCCGGTCTTGCATCTTACTAAAAAGTTCATTTTGGAGAGGAGTGAGGGATAAGGAGGAGTAGTGGTAAGAAGAAAACAAAAGGAAGTTTTTGTTTTTTTTTTTAAATAATATTTAGAATAGGCTTAAAACTAAAAGTTGAAGAAGGCTATGAAAGCTATTTGCAATAGAGGAAAATAGATAAATAAAGCAAATAAAGTGCAGTATAGAAGGTAACAAAATTGAAAATGAAGAGATGGAAAAACAAGGTTAAGGTTGAAAGGTAATATCGAGAAAGTAAAGTAAAGCTAAGCTGGGAAAGTAAAAGATGAGCGAAAGTAGCGAAAGTAAAGATGAGAACTCAACTATGCTACGTAGTCAGAATACATGGATGATGTAAGCATTTCATTTTTGGAGCAACTCCTGAGGAGGTTTTATAAGCAGACAGTGCTGCGCATGGGAGGCCTGCCATCTCAGAGGTAGTTGCTAAATGATACAAGATAGCAGATAGGGAAGACATCAACTTTTGGGACCAGTTGCATGCCTCTTGAAGGGGGGTGCTTGTTTTGGACAAAACCCACAATCTCCTGTTGTGTGCGGTCTCTTCTACCTGTTTTATTAGGTCTTTCTGTTCTTTTCAGTTAAGGAAGGCAAGATCAATAAGTGCTCACACACAATCGCAACAAAAGAAATAGCTAAATCTCCTTTCTCCAATGTGTAAAGCTTTAAGATGGCTATTTTCAATATGAAATTTGTTACAGCATATTCTTCACTATTGTTTTATGTTTGACAGCAGTAGTGTGCCAAATGTCTTTGAATTGCCGCTGTGAGGAACATATTGGCTAGGTGTGGTCCATGTGGGTGAATGGAGTCAGGCATGTTAACTGTTAAACACAAAAGCATGGGAAAGCTCCCCGAGAGATCCAGGCAGAGGAGAGGCCAGAGGGAGGCAATTAATCACTGCTTCCCAGAGGGAGGCAGAAAATGCTTCCTAGAGGCTATGATGAGTAGATTAACACATTGACTGCCATACTAGAAAAAACATTTGTTTCCTTGGGGCCAGGGTGTTTTGTTATGAAAATAGAATAAAAATTCTGAAAACAAAATGATCCTAATTTAATGAAAAAATGTGTTTTTTATTGTTTCATGTGCACAAATTATATGCAACTTGAAAAATAGTTCTCGTGACTCCTGTGAGACATGGGAGTTATGTATATATGCTTCATGAGGCCCTGGGCCCCAAACCAGCATGAGTTAAACACAACTCACATGGCAGTTAATGTGTTAAGTCAAGGAAAACAAGAGTTGAGTAGAAGTTGCAGCTGACCAGGGAGGAAGGGAATTCAGAGAAGCAGCAGCAATGTGAGCAAAGGCACCAAGATCTAGTACAACTGGATTGCCAAGCTACTCATGTGTCAGCAATAGGGCAGTGGAGGCAAGAAAATGGGAAAGGACTGGATCACAAGTGAGCCGTTGTGAAAAGTAACCACTTGTTAGCAACAGACAGTTACTTTCATAAATTCAGACTCTGATGTTATTACCTGTCCTTTTAGGACAACCTGAGCCCTTTTGTTTGACTTTGCACAACATGAATCTAAACTAGGGTTGTTTTAGTTTCCCCAGGCACAGCAGAAGACAGTTTCTTGAAGACTAAATTGCAGATACACTATGTGCATGTGGGGGTTCCAGATGAGTGACAGTAATGGGAAATAGTTTAATGGTGGTTCCCCAGTGTGGGTTGATTACTGGCTTGATCACTGGGTCTGCCACCTACTTGGAATGTATTCTTGGGCAAGTTTCTTCACCTTACGACAGCCTAATTTGTTCATCCCAAGGGGGAAGGGGGGGGATATAGTATGATTATGAAGATTAAGTTACTTTAAAAACACTTAAAATAATGCATGGCACAAATAGTGCTTAATGTTTGCCATTTCTCAAATTATTATCATTGCTATTTAAGAAACAAGCTGAAATCTGTCATTTCCATACTTCAGAAAAAAATATAACCCACGGTATCTCGAGTTCTCCTTTGGTAGTGTTAAAATACCGTTTCTTAAGACCTGGTATTTGATAGATACGTAGGGTGTCTATAGTTGACATTAATCAATTGTACATTTCAAAATAGCTAGAAGAGAATAATTTATATTTATTTCTAGCATAAGGAAAAGATAAATAAGGTGATCAATATCCCAGTTACCCTGATTTGATTATATGAATATATCAAATTATCATATACACTGCAAAAATATGTACAGCTATTATGTATCAATAAAAAATTTAAAAATTAAAAATTTTAGAAAAAGAAAAAAAATTCCATTTCTAATAATACTAGTAATGGAGAATGGGTTCATAATAAACTAATAAAGTATAAATATTTTGACACGAAAGAAATGAAAACTCTCATAAAGGGAAAAAGTCTATTACCAAACTAATGAAAAAAATTTGAAGACAGGCATAAAAACAGCACAGAAAAACATTACAATTTGCAGGTATCACTGAAGCAAGTTGGCTAAACAGTAAAGAATTTGGGTTTTGACCTAAGAATGTTTTAGAACTGATAATAGTATGTCACGCCCGCCTCGCCAGCAAGGAAGACGCGGCAACCGGAGTTCTTCTGACAACGCTTTAATGGGGATTGCTTAACTGGTTACATGCTGAAGACGCCGAGGCGTTCTCGGTGGCTGCTTATATAGACAGTAAGTACACGGGGCATAACCTGATTGGTCAACACAGAACAGGAGAGGAGGCAAGGCTTTGCACATGCGCTGAACATCTGTTTGTCAGACGCACAGTAGGGTGTGACCAGGAAGCCGGCGCCATCTTGCAATGGCGTTAACACCGCGCCCCACAATAGTACTCATTCAGCTTATTCAGCTCTGACACTTGGTCCTCAAAATGCAGTCATGAATGAGACCTGGCTGGTCCTCAAGATGATGACAATCTCCTGGGGGATCTAAACAAGCGATAATCACAATATGAAAAGTGCTATGATAGGCATCAATTAACACATCATGAGGGCATGTAACCCAATGTTTTGTGTTGAGAGATGTCAAGGAAGTAATCTGTTCCTCTTCATTTTTCAGCACACTCCTACTCTTTCTCTGCTATATGCTGGGGTATAGACAAACCATAGGCATAGTCCCTGTCTTTGAGGGTCTTAATGGGGTACACAGACACCCAGATAAGTGTGGTCGGCACCATGTTAGCGCCATGTTCAATCAGTAGCTCCAGGTATTATTGAGAGTAACTAAAACTACTGAGGAAGAGACTGTTAGGATAAATTTAACGAGGAGGAGGCCATTTAATGACTTTAAAAGTAATTGAAGTGATTTTTTTTGTGTGTGTGTGGGCCTAAAAATGAGTGGGAGGTGAGAAATAAAGTAGCTGTCACAGCTGTGTTTTGAGGAACAAAGAAGGTTTAAAAATAGGTTGTGTGGCCAATGGGAGAAGGAGCAAGATGGTCAGGTTTCTTTGCAGTTCCAACTGTGGTCAGATACCATGAATTTCTGGTGATAGCAGTCTAGGCAGGGATGTGGGTATATGCTCACTCCAGAGGGTTAATTTTGCAAGCAGGTGTGAGTGTAGCTAAGGTGGACAGTTGAGTGTATCCAGTGCAGAGAAGTAATTCACTTAACTGAAACAGACCGGGAACTTTGGGGAATTTTCTGAATGCAGCCTATCATATTATTTAATGGCATCTATTATTAAAGTATAGCATTGCAGCTTAGTATTAAGTATATTATAAAATAGCTAGAAGATATAAGTCAAGATACTGTTTTTCAGGAGCTGAGAATGTTTAATTTGAAAATCTCCATAGGAAGAAAATTCAGTGTTCTTGAGGAGTGGAAAACATTTTTATTATAATATAAAAATGTGATATTGGACATAATTATTATAGTATATAAAGCATTTAATCCACTGGTTGACAAACCAAAAATTTTAAACTCTGTACATTGTTGAAAACATGTCTTTTTTGGTGTAGGGTAGGGAGGAGAATTAGTTGAATGGACTAAATCATCTAACTGATATTTCTTTTTCCATATAGAGCACTACATGTGAAAGTAAGGTTAGGAATCCTCTTTGTATCTGCTTTCAAGAAAGTTACTAAACATAAAAGTATAATACAAAGGATACTGATTTAACACTGGCATGCTGTTAGTTGATTTCTGTCTTAGTGGTTCCAGGAAATTCTTGAATGATGTTAAACATTTTTTTCTAAAGCAGAATTATGTAGCATTTCTAGCCCTTTTTATTTCCCATCGTAAAGTGACAATGCCTGGCTCAGGGTAGTTTGGAAGTTTAATGTTAGCAATATAACTCAACTCTATACTGATTTTATTTTTAAACAATGCTTTTAATTCCTAGGGCTTTTTGCTTGCTTTTTTTGTTTGTTTTAGGCGGTTGATCAAGGCACATTCAGATACCAAGGTCAAGCACAGCGGAAATGTTGAAAACTTATTGCCGATAGGTGGACTGCAGGGCATGGCGTAAATAAAATGTTGGACAGTATACATATGGAGAATTTTAGAATTTAAAATATGACATGAAATGAGGGTAACATTTCCCTTGGTTAGAGTTGTCTTGACCAATCTCAATCTGAAATATGACCGAGATGCAGGGAGTGAAAATGAAAAGGCACCTCAGAAATCAAACTATCTCTTTGGCTCCTTCCCTCGTAGGAGAGACTTTTGTATTACTTCAGCACTTTAGGCCTTTACTTGATCTCTCTTTCATCTTATTTTACATAAATGTTCTAACATATCGGTTAGGTTTACAAGTGCACAGATAATTAAAAGGAAGATGAATTGCAGAAGTAGAAGCAATACCACTGTAGGGAGGGGAAAAAAACGGAAATAAAAAATTCTGAAAGCACAGCAATATAGTAGCTTTACTGTAGAGATATGTTGGATAAACAGCCCAATAGCTGCGTCAAGGACTTCTGAGGGAATTCATGATGCAGTGATCAGTGGGGAAAGATTAAATTGTGTTTAATGTTCAAGAAAACAAAACAAAACCAAATTCATGTAAGGCTATCCAAAGTAGTAAATTCTTATACTTCTGTGGCATCTAGTCACTTACATGATGCTCAATTCATTTATATGAAACAAATGAAATGAAGTCTTATAGTTTGAAATACTTTGGGTCCATATTTATTTTGATCTCTGAAATCTACCGTGTTTATTTAATAATCACCTCTTGCCATAGCATTTCTTGAACACCCACTGGGTATAGCATAGTAGAAAAAGAAGACATGGTCCTTGATCTCTAGGAACTTGCCTTCCAAGGGGAGACAGAGCCTGAAGTCACAAGATGTCGTAAGTTTTTGTTTCAAACTGTGAGAGAGTAATCTGAGCAGAGTGCTTTATATACTATAGAAGATTTCTTAGAGGAAAGGTTAGTTTTTAAATGACATTAGAAAAACGTAGGAAAAGATGCATACCTATGTGTATTTTTTTAAGACCAAAGACACTGATGGTGTCTCTTCAATTCACTGTTGAATGAAAATTCACTTTATTCCCAAACAAACCAAAAGCTAATTGGATGTTACTAAAACAAGCAAGACACATTCTTCCACTATTACCACCACGTTAAGTGTGGAATAATCATTTAAAATCTTGCCAAGGACCTTTCTATTTTTTCTGTGCTACCTGCTGTCAGACTACAGTCCCTGGCTGGTGAAACTAATATCAGTACTTCATCTTTGTGTTCTTCTTCTCTTGTCTCTAGATGCCTGTGAGGACCCACCAGAATTTGAAGCAATGGAGCTCATTAGTGAACTTAAACCCTATTATGAAGTTGGGGAAGAAGTACACTACAAGTGTAAAAAAGGATATTTTTATATTCCTCCTCTTTCCCTCCTTACTTTTTGTGAGAAGAATCATTCATGGTTTCCTGCCACAGATGAAGCCTGTTTTAGTAAGTACACAAGCCTCTTTTTTTCTGCTTGTGCTAGACCTTTTCACACATTTGAGGGTGTATCTTCTGCTATTGAGATGATTTTTTCATATGAAATGAGGTTTAAGATAGCAATGTATTTTTTTTTCAGGCTTTGAGAGGTCTCCAGGGAATCTTTTTTTTTGCATTTGATTGCCTGAGTAAAGGTGAATCTTAAGGTTGTCCTTATGATAGTTAAATAAAGAAGTAATATTCTCATGAATTAAAATAGCAATGTAGAATTTGGATTTTGATTCAAATCCATTTTGAAACTGGATTAAAAAAATAAACTTCAAAATTATTTTCTTTTAGGAGATTCATGTTCATTCCCAAAGGATCCTGAAAATGGCCGAGTAGTGTTTGTAAATGGAACTTACTCATGGGGTTTTGAGGTGCACTATGAATGTCATTGGGGGTAAGTAAGTAAGTTGTTCCTTAGAGGAAATAAGGTAAATATTAATAATTTTAGTTTTGTTTTGCTTTTCTTCTTAAGCATTCATATTAACTTGATTTAATTTTGCTCTCTGTGTGGCAAGTTGTATTTTTAGCCAAACAACTCTTGGGTGTTTTATGGAGGTAGATTTGTAATAAATAGAAAAAAAATTGAAATTGAAGAAAAGTGAAACTGTGTAATACTTGCTATGTCTAATAAAAAGCCTATTGTAAGCATTAGGAATGCAGTAATCATGGTGACTTCATCCTTTACAACAAAGTAGACCCTATTTAAATCTGCTAACTCTCAGAGTTGAAGTAGGGCTCACAGAAATGGGAGGTAGAATTGTCAACCAAAGATATTCTTATATCCACATAACTCTGTAAGGTGTTACCAGACCAAACTTGACCTGGTTAGCCCTTTACCACCATATTGGTTAAAATCTCTCAGTTGGAAAAACCTTATTTTTGAGACTACTGCAAAGAATTGAAGCATCTCAAGAAGGCACTGAACACTTAATAATAACCTTTGTTCTGTAGGGCTTTTTTAATAGTAGCTACTGGGGATACTGGACGTTTGCGAAAAATGTGCATTTGGAGAATGAATGTAATATTCTTAGTCTGTTTTCTGTTGCTATAACAGAATACCTGAGGCTGGGTAATTTATAAAGAAAAGAAGTTTATTCAGCTCACAGTTCTGGAGGCTGGAAGGTCCAAGGACATGGCAGCAGTATCTGGTGAGGGCTTTTGTGCTGCATGATAGCATATCGGAAAGTGAAAGGGAAAGCAAGTGCACATAAAAAAAGACAAAGCATGACCACCTGTTCTTGTGGTAACTAATCCGATCCTGAGAGAAGGAGAATTCACTCATTCCCTCGAGAACTCACTCAGAACTTCCCTCTAGAAAGGCCTTATCCCTTTTAACAACCTAATCACCTCCTAAAGACCCCACCACCTCTCACTACTGTTACACTGGCAATGAAATTTCAACCTGAATTTTGGTGGGGATAAACCACATTCAATCTGTAGCAGTAACACACTATAGTAAGAAAAAAAATGAGTGAGCCTTGGGAGAAAAATCAGGTGTGACTATGTAAGGTGGTTTCACTAATTGTTTTTTAGTTTAGTCAAGTTAAATATTGGAACATTCAGTTAATAGTTACATAGAGCCTGCTAGGTTCTTTGAGAGATACCAAAGTTTAAGACATGGACCCTTCTTGAAGAAGTTCTTATTGAGAAATACAATATACACCCAAAGCTATCCAAGGCAAAACAGTAAATGAAAAATACCAAATAAGTGGAATTATTCATGACAATTACAGTGAGAGTCCAGAAGAAGGAGCAATTCTGGTGAATTTAAATCATCTGGCAAGATTTCATTGAGTACGGGTTTTCCTGAGGAATTCCTAGAAAGATATTCTGATCTAAATAATATTACTAAGAGCTAAAATTTACCTAACATTTACTGTGTGTCAGATACTAACTCATATAATCCTTTAAACAACCCCATGAGGTATATACTTTTATCCCCTTTAAATTGATGTGGAAACTGAGCAAGAGACACTTTAAGTGACTTGCTCATGCTCAAGTAACTAGTAAGTTGTGGAGCAGAGACTCAAATCCAGGCAGTCCAGCTCTAGGGCCTGAGCTCTCTACAATGGTCATTGTCTTTACTGAGCAGAATGGCATGAGCAAAGGTACGGAAATGAATGTATAATGTGAATATAGGAGACAGCAAAAAGGCCAGACTGTCAGGCGCAGCAGATTTATTTAGACATCTTTGCTCTTGGCCAACGTGTATTCAAATGGAGAAATTCTTTATTTGATTAAATTGCACATTTATTTAGCACTTTCATCAGATAGTATGTTGTTTAAGAAACTTCTCCCTCAAACTACTGCAGCATAGAAAAATGACTATATAAAAATTTCATTCATTATTTTGTATATCTTAACTGCCAAAGAAAACAGTAACATTTTTTCATTTAGTTATTACTTAATTGGTGAAGCAATTTTACGTTGTCAACTTAAAGAAGAGGGTCCAGTTTGGAGTGATAAGCCTGCAGTATGTGAAAGTAAGTAAATTCTCTTTTTAAAATTTAGACCAGGCCGGGCGCTGTGGCTCACGCCTGTAATCCTAGCTCTTGGGAGGCCGAGGCGGGCGGATTGCTCAAGGTCAGGAGTTCAAAACCAGCCTGAGCAAGAGCGAGACCCCGTCTCTACTATAAATAGAAAGAAATCAATTGGCTAACTGATATATATATAAAAAATTAGCCGGGCATGGTGGCACATGCCTGTAGTCCCAGCTACCAGGGAGGCTGAGGCAGAAGGATCGCTCGAGCCCAGGAGTTTGAGGTTGCTGTGAGCTAGGCTGACGCCACGGCACTCACTCTAGCCTGGGCAACAAAGCGAGACTCTGTCTCAAAAAAAAAAAAAAAAAAAAATTAAAAAAAAAAAAAAATTTAGACCAATAGTTCTCAAACTTTTTGACTTCAGGACCCCTCTATGCTTTATGATTAATAAGGATCCCAGTGATCTTTCCTTTATATTGGTTGTATCTATTGATATTTATTATATTGGGATTGAAACTGAGAGGTTTTAAAATAATTACTGATTCATTTGTAAGAACAATACACTCAGTATATGTTAACATATGTAATGTAACTTTTACGGAGAATAAAAATTTTCCAAAACAAAAAAATTAATGAGAATAGTGACATTGCTTTACATTTTTGCAAATCTCTTCAATATCCGGCTTAAAGGAAGACATTTGGATTCGGTCTGTTATGTTATCACACAATATGTAGCCTCAAGGAAAAAAATCACTGAATACTTGTAAGGATGAGAGTGAAAAAAGACAGTATCTTGGTATTATTGTGAACCACCAATTTAGAGAATGGATATATTTACAAATTATAAAGCATTTCTCAACTAACACTCCGTTTAGTTTTTAATCACAAGCATATTTTCTCATTAAGTCATCAGCATCTTTTATGATGACTAGAACAAAGTTTAGCATGGCTTTGCAAATAAATATAGGCATTATATACTTCAAGAAAATGAGTTGTTTTGTTCCTAAAATTCATTACTATGTTAATGGCTTGAATTTGAGATAATATATTTTCCCATAAACCATCTTATGAATGGATATTGAATTCCCAACCAGCTCATAGAAATCCTAGCTTGATGAATTTATTGAAGGCAGTCCATAGAACTTTATTAATGCTGCCTTAATTGTTTGCCTTTCCTTTTGCCTTTCATTTCCTTTTTCCCCCTTTTTAAGAGATTTTGTGTCTACCACCTCCAAAAATAGAAAATGGAAAGCACACCTTTAGTGAGGTAGAAGTATTTCATTATCTTGAAGCAGTAACTTATAGTTGTGATCCTGCACCTGGACCAGAGGAATATTCACTTGTTGGAGAGCATACGATTCACTGTGCTAATCACCATAAATGGAGTCATAATGCTCCTGAGTGTAAAGGTAATACTCTTTCCTTTATTTCCTTCTTCATTTGTAAATACTGTGGAAGCATTTTGGAAATAGTTTTACCTAAAAGTAAACAACACAAGCATATGGCGTCCTCCTCCTGTAAAATTGGTTTCTGATTTAATTTATATCTCTCCATTCGAGTAAAAAAATAGTTCTAGCTGTAGAGTTCCCTATTGCTTACCCCCATGTGTTTGTTTTATACATTGTGAGCTACTGTGTAGGGGCATGAATTATGATTTCTTTTGCTTGAAAGAACCAATAAAACCAGCATACACATAAGAAAGTTTGATCTTGTATTATAAGAAATCTAAGAGTTCTGGCTATAAGTAATGGTAGAGTAGATTGTAACAGACTAACTAACCTTCTCACCAATAGGAATGTTAAACTCTGGATAAAATTTATTTTAAAAATCCCCAAATGTTTAAGGGATTGGAGAGTGACCAAAAACATGGAGACACGGGAGGGGATTTGCCCCTTGAAAGAAAGGAATCACTGAATACCAACAAAATACGTATTGTTTTCAAGTACACATGGAACATTCTCAAAGGTAGACCAAATTCTAAGCAATAAGATAATTTTTAACAAATTCCAAAAAATTGAAATAATTCCAAGTACATTATTTAATCACAAATGGAATGAAAGTAGAAATCAATAACAAGGATATCTAGGCAGTCCCCAAAGAATTGAAAATTATTCAAGATACTTCTGAATAACCCCTGGGTAAAAAAAGAAAGAGGGAAAATTAGAAAATGTTTTGAATTGAGTAAAAACACCACAACATATCAAAATATAAAAATTTGTAGGATGCAGCTAAAGTGTTGCTTGGAGAGAAATTTGTAGCATAAAACACTTATGTTAGAAAACAAGAAAAGTATCAAATAAATGATTTAATTTTCTGTCTTAAGAAACTAAAAAAGAAGAGCAAAGTAAACCCCAAACAAGCAGGTGGAAGGAAATGATAAAGACAGAGCAATGAAATTGAAAAGAGAAAAAATATAGTGAAAATCAATGAAACCAATAGCTGGTTCTTAGAGATCAATAAAGTAGATAAACCTATAGCCAGACTGACACAGGGGGGGAAAAATGGTACAAATTACCAATATCAAGAATGAAAAAGTGGACATCACTAAATATCTTGCAGACATTTAGAGGATGATAAGGGAATGTTACAAACAACTTTATGCCTATAAATGTGACAACTTAAATGAAATTGACAAATTCTTTGAAAGACACAAAATAACAACACTCACCTGAAGATATAGATAGCCTAAATAGTCCTGTATCTATTAAAGAAATGCAATTTGTAGTTAATAACCTTCCCACAAAGAGAACTACAAGCCCAGATGGCTTCACTGGGTAATTCTACCAAACATTTAAGGAATAAATAATAGGAATTCTACATAAGATTTTCAAAAAAAATTCAAGAGAAGAGAACACTTCTTAACCTGTTTTATGATGATAGCATCGCCAACACCAGAAAAAAACATTATGAGAAAATTGCAAACAATATCCTCAAAAATAGGACCACAAATCCTCAACAAAATATTAGCAAGTCAAATCCTATGATATATAAAAAGAAAAGTACATCGTGACCAAGTAGGATTTATCTCATGAATGCAAGGTTGATTCAAAGGCAAAAATTAATCAGTGTAATTTACCATATCAAGAGACCATAAAGGAGAAAAAGACTGTATGATTATCTTACTAGATGCAAAAAAAAAGAGAGAGAGATAGAAAGCATGTGAAAGAATTCATCATCTTTTCATGATTTGCATGATAAAATTCAACAAACTAGGACTCTGAGGGAACTAACTATCTCAACCAGATAAAAGACATTACAATAATCTCACAGCTAATATTATACCTAATGGTAAAAAAGAAACATTATATTATGGTAAAAAGTAACATACTTCATGATTAAAAAAACCCTTAACATAATTTATTTCTAATTGAGAAAGGGGTTACTTAAGGAAGGAACAAGGCAAGGATGTCCATTCTCACCGCTCTGTTCAGCATTGTGATGGAGGTCCTACCCAGGACAATAAGACAAGTGAAAGCAATAGGCATACTTATCAGAAAGGGAGAAGTAAAACTGTCTCTATTCACTAAACACTTACTAGAATGGCTGAGATTTAAGCACACACACAGACAAAGCTGACAGTACCAGGTACTGGCAAGGATATGGAGCAGTTATTATAGAACTCTCATACACTGAGGGTGAAAATGCAAAGTGGAATGATCAATTTGGAACACCTTTGGCAATTTCTTATAAAGTTAAACATACACTTCCCATACAACTGAGCAACCCAAGGACACTGAAAACATTTTCACACAGACACCTACATGAGGATGTTCATAGCATTATTCATAATCACCCCAAACTGGAAACACTCACATGTTCTTCAGCTAGTGAATGGATGAACCACCTGTCTCAGCAATAAGAAGGAATAAACTCCTGGTTCATGTAACAACACAAATGAATACCAAATGCATCATGCTAATTGAAATAAGCCATACTCAGAAGGCTGTGGTTCCATCTATATGATATTCTGAAAAAGCAACACTATAAGGAGAGAAATAGATCATTGGTTGTCTGGTTGGTGGGGGAGGAAGGGTGAATCACAAAGAGGCATGAGGAAATTTGGTGAGTAATGGGACTTTTCTGTATCTCTACTGTCGTGGTAGTTATGCAATTATTATTTGCCAAAATTATTTTGGCAAATTATATTTGCCAAAACTCATACAGTTATACACATGAAAGGGTGAATTTTACTGTGTGTAAATTATATCCAATAATCCTAACTGCATAAAGATCATTAGGTGCTATTGGACACAACAAAAGATCAGTGAACCTGAAGACAGGTCAACAGAAATTTAACATGTTTTAAGAAGAAAGATGGGGAGAGAGCCTTCCAGAGCTATGGGAAAGTATCAAGCAGTCAAGCATAATATATAACTGAAGTTTTAGAAAGGGAGAAGAGAAAAAGTATAGAAAATTATTTGAATAAATATTGGTCAAAAATTACCCAAATTTGATCCAAAACAACAATCTCAGATGTAGGAAATTCAGTGAATCTTGAGCAGGATGAATAAATTATTAAAATTGACCAAAAAAAATCCCAGTAGTCTGGCAGTTTTTACTAAACTACTGAAAACAAAAGTTAGAAAAGCAGCCAGGGAGAGGGAATAAAACAACAAAAACCATATTACATTCGGGAGGGTGGGGGACCAGTAAGAATGACAGCTGACTTAAGGAACTATTGCAGCTAGAAGACAATGATGTCTGTTAAAATGCTAGAAGAAAAGCAAAACCCTTACCCTGGAATTCTATATCAAGAAAAATATATCAATTAAAATGCTTTATGTTTAATTTTTTAAAAACATAAAAGTCTTTAAAAAATTTTTTTTAACATTTTGTATTCCATTTCTTGTCTCTTTGTTCCCACTAGAAATTACTACCTTGTACTACTTTTTTTCTGGCCATATGTCAAAGCAGATTTCCATTAAGTCTTTGGTTTCTCTATTTTTCAGTGGTCAGATGTCCATTTCCAGTAGTCGCAAATGGAAAACAGATATCGGGATTTGGAAAAGTATTTTCCTACAAAGCAAAAGTTACATTTGAATGCAATATGGGGTTTTACCTTAATGGCAGTGATACTGTTTCCTGTGGTGGTAATAGTACTTGGGAACCCTCACTTCCATTGTGTCCTAAAGGTACAAAGTTTGTCTTTTTTCCTTCTTGTTTATGTTTTGTTTTAGACTTTTATTTTTTATTTCTTTGCCATTAAATATCAGTGATACAGAATAATCGAAAAGAAGCAATTTTAGTATTTAACTCTGGTTATTTATTTCTGTGCCAGGTATATCATATAAAATTCACAAAGAATTCTGCTATTGTGATTGTGTAGATTTTTCCAGGGTGCTTAAGCATGTTGTGTATGTCGCATGGGTATGTAAATTTCTCCTGTTCAGTATTTTTATTTATAATAGGTGGATTGCAACAACTTTTTGGAGTACATTGAAGCATGGGCATTTTTATCTAAAAAAAGTCAAGAATGAAAAGCATAATTCATATAAATGAAATGAAAGCAATTAACAACTCCCAAGGGGTTGATCCAGTCTACAAATCTTGTCAGTTCTTGGTGGAAATGCCAGCAATAACTCCCAAGTGTCTGATCCAGTCTACTTATTATTTTGTTTTCCAGTGTCAACCCCTTCCACTGCAAAACCTCTAAATTCCAGTGTCTCAGGTTTAGTAACTTCCTGCTTATATTTTTAAAAATTCTTTAAATTCTTGGTGATTTTTTTTCCACAGGTCCTTTAAATTCGTGATGATCTCCACTCATTCATCATTTTAGTAATGAAAGGAGGTACAACATCTGTACAGACATTTTAGTTGTTATACATAGTGATTCTAAAATCATTTGCCATAGTCCACAGATACAAACAGGAATGTGAACTTGAGAAAGTTATGTAAACTTTAAGTGTGTTTACTCATACAAAAATGATCTAGTGCCTTCTTTACTGGATGATAGTAAGGTTTAAATGGGATGCATTTAAAGCACTTAGCATAGGGTCTGGTATATAGGAAGCTCTTGAAGGTAGCGTGATATGACTTATGTCAACACTAGAATTAATAATGGTGTGAAGGCAGATCTAAGTGTGCTAATATAAAAAAATGTCTAGGAAATCCTCAATGGAAAAGAGTAAGATGCATATTATGTAGTATGATAACACTTTTTTTCTAAAAAGATACATGTATTTAGTTCAAATACATTACTTTCATGATTTATTACTAGTTAACTTCTACAATTCCCATTATAAAATACAAAGCTATAGTGAACATTCTTATGCATACAATCTTCTATACTTGTGCAAATAAATATGTAGGTTAAATTGTGAGAACAAGAACTGCAAAGTTTGCAAAGTATGTGTACGTTTTCATTTTGATAATCTTTTATAAAAATCAAATATCAAAATTAAATCCATAATTATATATTTAAAAGGCTGGCATCAATAATACTGGTGAATTTATAGAATCAAATTTATTTTTCTAGGTCCGAAGCCTACTCATCCCACCAAGCCTCCAGTTTCAAATTATCCAGGTTCGGTAACTCTTTATCCTACTGATATTAAGAACTTCTTAAATGATGAAAGCTGACATCTTGTTGTAATTTGCATTTCTTTAATTATCAATTAAGCTGAGCTTTTTTTGGTCTACATTTATTTATTCATATCCTTTGCCTATTTTTCTGTTAGGTTTCTAATTTTTTTTTTTTGAGAGTTCATTATGAATTAAAGCCCTTTTAATATGAAGTGACAATTTTTTCCAGGTTTTTTTTTTTTTATTTTTACCAGTCAGTTTTAAGTTTTTTATACTATTGGATATAGACTGCTTTTTATAACTTTTAATTACATGAGTAGTATATCAATATATCTTCGTAAAATTTCAAACATTACAAAAGTATACAGAGTAAAAGATCAGTTCTCTTTCTAGTCCATAATCCAAGTTAATCACAGTTAATAATTTGGGATTTCTTTTTTTTCTTTATCTATTTCTGTACATCAATATCTTTTTATGTGCAGTTATGCATGTAGTCTGATATTTTTCCTTTTCTTAAAAATGACATCATGCTGTACATATTTTTCTGCAACTTGTATTTTTTTCATTTAGTGTCTTGGATTGCGATTGTGTTTAGATTTATTCTCATCCTTTCTAATGATGACTTGAATACATACCATATTTTATTTAACAACTGTTCTATCAGTGGTCATTTATAGTTCAGAATTTTATATTGATAGTTGGATGTATCAGTCTTTTCCATAATGGCTATGAGTTTTGTGTCTGTCTTATAAAAAACTTTAGGTCTTCCCTAAGATGAAATGACATTTAAATTGTTGGTGCATCTGAAATTCATTCTGATATATATAATAAGATAGGGTTCCTCCCCACCCCGCCTACCCATATCAAATAGCTAAATAACACCATCTATCTGTTGAATAAGTTGTCTTCTTCCCAACTGAATAGACGTGGCACTTTTTAATCATACATCGAATTCATAGGTGTTCTAGCCTCCTTTCTCCTTTGTACTTTGTCCATTCCTGTATCAGAATCAAGTCTTTTTTTATATACATTTTAATATCTACTAGAACACTTCCTTTTCAGAAATTACCAAGCTACTCTCATGTTAATTTTTCCAAATCAATTTTCTTTTCTTTTTTTTTTTTTTATCATTTTAAGTATGTAATTCAGTGGCATTAAATACATTGAAATTATTGTACAACTACCGTCTATCTCCAGAATTTTTTCTTCATCCCAGATGGAAACTCTATTCATTAAACCATGAACAGAAATTGATTTCTCACAGTTCTGGGGGCTAGGAAGTCCAATGTCAAGGGGCAGGCACGTGGTGAGGGCCTCCTTGCAGCACCATGACTTGGCAGAAGGCATCGCATGTTGGAAGGGCAGAGACAGGGCAAGAGAGAGCAAGAGGGGCAAAACCACTCCCTCGATAACACACATACTCTTGCAATTACAGCATTAATCCATTCATTATGGCTCATAAACACCTTTTAAAGGTCCCACCTCCCAGTAACTTTGCATTTGCAATTAAATTTCATCATGAATTTCAGAGGGGACAAACACTCAAACCATAGCACCCTCCTACTAAGATATGAAGTAGCATATCATTGCAGTTTTTATTTGCATTTCCCTAATGATTAAGAATGTGTTGAGCATCTCTTCATGTGCCCATTGGTCATTTGTATATCTTCTTTGGAGAATTATCAATTTAAGTCCTTTGCCCATTTTCAAATTGGGTCGATGTTTGTTTTTGAGTTTTAGGAGTTCTGAAAATGAATCCCTTATCAAATATATGATTTGTAAATATTTCCTCCTGTTCTGTAGATTGCCTTTCCCCTCTGTTGATAGTGTCCTTTGATGCACAAAAATTTTTTATTTTGAAGCCCAATTTATCCGTTTTTTCCTATGTTGCTTGTGCTTTTGGGGTCACATCCAAGAAATTACTGCCAAATCCAACATCATGAAGCATTTTCCCTATGTTTTCTTCTGTGTGTTTTATAGCTCTTATGTTTAGGTTTTTTATCCATTTTGAATTAATTATTTAAATATGGTAAGGGTCCAACTTCATTCTTTTGCATGTGGATATCCAGTTTTACCAGCACCATTTGTTGAAGAGACTGCCTTTTCCCCATTGACTGTTCTTGACACTTTTATTGAAAATAATTTGACCATATATTCGAGGATTTATTTCTGGGCTCCCTATTCTATTCCCTTGTCTGTATGTCTGTCTTTATGCCAGTACCACTCTGTTTTGATTATTGCAGTTTTGTATGAAGTTTTGAAATCAGAAAATATGAGTCTTCTTAACTTTGCTCCTTTCCAGGATTGTTTTGGTCCCTTGAGGTTTCATATGAACCTCAGAATGGATTTTTCTACTTCTGCAAAGTGCATCATCAGGATTTTGATAGGGGTTGCACTTAATCTGTAGATTGCTTCATATAGTATTGACAGTTTTAAAATATTAAATCTTTCAATCCATGAACACAGGATGTCTTTCCATTTATTTGTGTCTTTAATTTTTTTCGAGCAGTTTTATGGTTTTCAGTGTACTAGTTTTGTGCCTCTGTGGTTAAGTTTATTCCTAAGTATTTTATTCTTTTTCATTCTACTGCAAATGAAATTGTTTTCTTAATTTCCTTTTCAGATTATTCATTGTTAGTGAATAGAAACATAACTGATTTTTGTGTGATTTTTCGTCCTGCAATTTTGCTGAATTCACTTATTAGTTCTCACAGGTTTTTGCATGAGTGTGTGTGTGGACTCCTTAGGGTTTGCTACATAAGAGATCATGTCATCTGCAAACAGAGGTAATTTTATTATTTTCTTTCTGATTTGGATTCCTGTTCTTCCTTTTTCTTGCCTAATTGCTCTGGTTATAACTTCCAGTACTATCTTGAATAGAAGTGGCAAATGTTTACACCCTGTCTTGTTCTTGATCTTAGGGGAAAGCTTTCAGTCGTTTACCACTGAGTATGACATTAGCTGTGGATTTTTAACACGTGGCCTTTATTCTGTTGAGGATATTTCCTTTCATTCCAGAGCAATTTCTAAAGCATTTACTAAGCCCTCTTCTGTCTTTTAATTAATTGTTAGAATCACACTGAATTCGTAGACTAATTTTGAGAATGTAGTAAAGACAAATTTGTATACGCTACCATAGAATATTATCACAGGAAATGTTAATGGGCAGGGAGAAGAAAGATGATGACATTGAATATAAATTTATAGATTTTTATAATACTACTTTAAATGAGAAACATTAATACAGTTTATAAAGAAAATGAATTTAAAAGGATTTTGTACAATGATGAAAAAAAATCAACCTATGAATTTGAAGGATAAAATCCTTACAAGCTTCATTTTCTTTTCTTTTCTTTTTTTTTTTCCTTAATCCATTTTTCTTCTTTTTTCTAGGATATCCCCATCCCAAAGAAGGAATATTTGACCCTGATTACGGTTGGTACAGATATCATGACAAATATAAGTAGTAGTATGAGTAGGAACATATAGGTAATTAAAACAATTTTTAAGAGGTGCCCCAATATAGAATTTCCCTAATCAGATGAGGCAAATTTCCTAAATGTTATGGTTATGTGTAGGTTAAAATATATAAAACATAACTTGCTTTCCACATGATAGTGTTATTTTGTTGTGATGACAATTTGTAGATAGATTCCCTTTCTATTCATAATCTTCTGTACACAAGCCTTAAGTAATATAAGTTGGGTTAGTTTTTTTCTATAACAGGCTGTTTTAACATATTTTATGTAAGCTTATACAAGCCACACAACATATATATATATATATATATATATATAAATAATAAAGTGTAGTTATAACAGTTAAAGTTCAATGAAATATAAAGATTTCTTGATAAGTAAAAGAAGACAAAAATCTATTAGTTTTCATTTCTTATGTTAGTTTAACAATGGTTAATTCTTTTATACAATGCACCTTAGGCCTATTTTTTAGCATATGCTTTAGCTCCTAACTCTATAGTCAAACTGTCATTGTAACAGTAAATCCCATGTCATCTTAAGCTGTTAAACACTTGATAACTGTTTATGAAATGAGAAGAGCAGAGTTAAACATGATACTTTATGCTTTGACTTTAGCAAGCTAATAAAAAATAAGAAACAGCTTAGAAACAGCTTAGCAGCTTAGAAACAGAGGTACTACTGAGAGAAAAACTTCTAAAAATTAAGATTATGTAGAATTATTTAGTGTTCTCTAGATAGTCAAAAATGCATGCTCAAGTTTCTCAGTATAATTTTTATCTATGTGCCTAGTGTTTCATTTATATTTTTAGAAGAAATCTTTGTATTTAGGACCATGTCTTAATTTTGGGGGGGGTAGGGAGTTGGGAGGTAAGGAGGGTAGGAAAGGGGTTAAGATTATTTGTGAAGACTCTGCAAATACCATCTGTGTGATAGATTAACAGAAATTTATTAATGACTTATTCTACAGATCTACTTTTAGGGAAAAAAATATAAATTAAATTTCTACCAAAAATCATTAAAAAAAAATGATTGAGTGAATACTGAACTAAACCAACTATAATGGGATAACACTTTTAAAAATGACTTTCCTCTAATGTAGTGAATTCTAATTGTTCTAATAACAAAAAAATATTAATCTATAAAGTTCCTTGATTTGCCTGTCTGTTAATGTTAACATATAATAAAGAAAAGGAACTTTGTTGAAAAAAAAAAAAGAATAAAAATATGCTTTCAAATAAATTTAACCAAGAGGATGAAACATCTGTACACTGAAACTACAAAATATTGTTGAGAGAAATGAAAAAAGACAAAAATAAATAAATAAAAAGACATCTTGAGTTCATGGTTTGGAAGACTTAATATTGCTAAGATAAATTATTATCTAAGGTAATCTATAGATTCAAAGCAATCCACTATCCAAATCACAAGATTTTTTTGGCATATATTGAAAAATATATATACTAACATTCATGTAGAATTTCAAAGGATCTGAAATAGTCAAAACAATCTTGTAAAAGAACAAATTTGAAGTACTCATAATTCCTAGTTTCAAAACTTACTACACAAACCAGCAGTAATTAAAATAGTTTGACATTGGCCTAAGAAAATTCTATCAACCAATGGGATAAAATAATAATAAAACCTCACATATATGGTCAAATGATTTCCTACAAGAGGGCAAAAATTTCAATGGGAAAAGGACACTCTTTTCAGGAGATGGTGCTGTGAAAACTGGATATCCACATCCAACAGAATGAAGTTGGACCTTTATCTTACACCATATAAAAAAACTGACTCCAAATGGATGAAACACTTTCATGTAAGTACTAAAACTATAAAATTCTTATGAGAAATATATGGAGAAATCTTCATGATAATGGACTTGGCAGTGTTTCCTTAGATATGAGACCAAAAGCACAAGCAAGAAAAGAAAACAATTATATTGGACTTCATCAAAATTAAAAATTATGTTTATCAAGGAATACTAACAAGAGAGGGGAAAGGAACCCACAATATAGGAAAAAAATGTTTGTACCTCATAAATTGCATAATGGATTATTATACAGATGTATAAGGAACACGTGTACATGAAAAATAAAAAACAACAAACATTTTTAAAGTGGCAAAGGATTAGTAAAGATATTTGTCCAAAGAAGATAAAAGGCCAAAGTACATGAAAAGTTATTCAGCATTACTAGTCATTAGGGAAATGCAGATCAAATGCATAAGATTCCACTTCACACCTTGAAGATGGCTATTATTAAAAAAAAAGAGAGAGAAAAGAACATGTTACAACATGGATGAACCTTAAAACCATTATGCTACGTGAAATAAGCCAGATCTAAAATGACAAATACTGTATGATTCCACTTAAATGAGGCAACTGCAATAGGCAAAATCATAGAAACATAAAGTAGAATAATGTTTCCTTGGTTTGGGGAAGAAGAGAGTTATCTTTTAATAGGTCCAGAGTTTTAGTTTGAGATCGTGAAAGTTCTGGAGATGGATAATAATGGTGATGGTTGCAGAACATTGTGAGTGGACTTAATGCCCTTGAATTATACATATACAAATAGTTGAAAGGTAGATTTTTATGTTTACATATTTTGTTGCTAAATTTTGAGTCAAAAAATATTAAAATTTTACCACACATACAAAGAAAGTAAAAGCAGCTACAGAGCACAATGAAAACGGAGGTTCCTATTAAGATTTTCGTAAGTTGGAACCTATACTTGAAAACTGGTTAGAAAGGTCCTGGATCAAAATGACCTGGATGTACTAATAGTCATGCTAAAACTAGATAGATAAAAAACTTTTTGGCTATCTAGAGACTCACGTGTTCAACATCTTCAAAGTGTTTTTATGTTTTCTCAGATACATGGATCATTGCTTTGCTTATTATTATTGCAAGTAAGTATCCCAAATCTTGATATCACTTAAAATATTACTTATGAAGAAGCATATGATTTTTTAAATGGTTTTTCAGTTTCTATAGCTTTTACAGCTTAAGCAAACCAATTTATAAAAACCTGACATTTTATATGATATATTCTATTAATTCTACCTTGTGTTTGGTGATTTTATATCCTTTTATAGTTTACATATCCACTTAGTAACAAAGTGTAAGTAATATACATTTTCTTGAGATGATTAGTAATGTGAGTTTGTTTCCCAAAAGTGCTTTTGACAATTTTCTAAAGTAAGCAAGGACTCTTCTCTTACTGAGGACTGTGTAAGTGATTCTAGGGAACTGGATTTAGACAGCAAAGAGTCTGGATGGAATACAAACGTGTAAGTGCTTACATAAAATAACATTTTCTGACCACGAAAATGCAACCAACATTATTTCTTCTGCTAGATTTTGAATCTTGACAATTAGTTTTCAGAGTCATATATGATCTGTTTCCTGGTTTCTTGTAGTTCTTACAGTTGCAGTAGTGATCGTCGGCCTGTACAAATATCTTCAAAGGAGGAAGAAAGGGTAAATTAAAGCACGTTTCTTCTAACTTACAGTCCTTTTTATCCTTGATATGCTTTTGTGCTGCTTATGTTTGTATTCTGTATTGCACACCATCTTTTTTTAAAAAATGTGCTTGCATTATCATGTCCTACATATTGCATTTCTTTGCTAAAGATGTTTTCAGCTACTTTTAACATCATTGCAACATGAGGAATCTGTGCAGAGTTGCTTCAGTTGCTGTTCTGACCTGAAGAAAAATTTCTGTGGGATTCAAGGTTAAAATTCTTTAGCAAATCAGGCTTTCCCTACCCTAAGTATACCATATTTCCTAAATTGGACTATTGGCCCAAATTAAATTTAAAGTATTTCACTGTGGAGACTTTGACAGTTCTATTCACTGGGGTTTTTATAATGAAAGTTTTCATTTGTCTGTATAACTTAAACTTCTAAGAAGCTCTGTAGATGTCTTCTTCAAATATCCTATTTGATCTCATTTACAGTAGTTATTTGTATGTGTTAAGCTGGGGAATTAAAAACAACACTATTTGATTTCCCTCTTATGTTCTCTTAATTTATTAGACTGCAGTAAAACTGATGGGGTTAAACTAAAAGTTGCTAAGAGGAGTAAGATTTACAAGGCACCTCAGTTAACTTTTGTGTGTCTTTTTATCCATAAAAATGAAAAAAGGAGGACTTAGAATAGGGAAAATGTGTAAGTACATATCTTCTAAAGAAAATAGGGTTTTAAAACATCAAACCTGAATTTTAGTGAATGAGTTTACAATTTAACGAAGGATTTAGAATAAATCCTGGAGCATAAACAAGATTAGGTGCTTTGGAATTTCTGAACGATAATATGCATTTTTATTGATTTGTTTTCCCTTGTAGCTTTAGAAGTAGCTTCGAAATTAAACCTGATAATTTTAAGCCTTTTGGTGCTCATAGTTTTACTATACATCTTTCTTTTGTATTAGTCATCAGATTTGGGCTATGCCGTAAAAGTACATTGTTCATTTATAAGGAGCTCAAACTTTTTCCGTATTACTTGGTTATCTTTTTAAAATACCCACAGCCCCTTCATGCGAATCTTAAATCTTGAATTTATGGAACACATAATATGCATATTTGATTTCTATATCAGTTATTTTGAAAAATTATGTAGATACAACAATGTGAGTAAGAAATACTATCAATGGAATATTTTATAAGTCTGAAAGGTCTGTGTAGAAATAATTTCTCAAGAAAGCAAAACAGAGTCATGTTCTGCTCATTTTCCTTCTTTGTTTAAAATATCACTGCATCAGGATCCTTAAAGTTTCTTTACCAAGTACTAGTCAAACTCTGTCTAGCTACCAGTTAATGGGTCTTTTAAAGTTCAACAGTTACCTGATCATTGTACTCCTCAAATGAAGGTTCAATAACAATAGTGATCTGTCATTCCAAAATTAATCTGTTGAGTGATTTTTTAAAAGCCTATGTTTTACAGCATAGGGTCCAACAGAAGATAGTTGTATTAAAATTTTAAAATATTTTTTGGGAAGGTATTATATCTTTAACCAATGAAACATAATCCTGCATACAGTAGCACAACTTGAAAAAAAAATTTTTTTAAATGGTGTGGGAGAATTAATTCATAATTGCCTTTGAATTAAAACATAAAACTGCATGAGAATCTTTTAGTATATATGTTGTACTTTCTATGACAAGAACATACTCAGTTATTAATAGAAAGTCAGTATAATGTGTAATGAATGGCCGAATCAAAAGTTAGGCTCTCTCTGGGCATTGTTTGGCTTCACGACATTGAAGCTCTATTTAATTCCTCAAGCTCTATATTATTTTAATAGCTGAAGTTGCTCTAAGGTGAGGGAGGCATATTTTTCTTCATTAGAGCGTACAGCATTGCTTCTCTCACTTTAATGTGCAAATTAATCTCCTGGAGACCTGTTAAAATACAGATTCTGATTCATTACATCTGGGGTGGAGCCTGAGCTCCTGAATTTCCGATGATCTCCTAAGTGATGTTGCCGCTGGGCCTGGAGTATCCTTTGAGCAACTGGCACGTAGACTATTCCTGATGTGCCCATACCGTCGAAATTGGAAGGAATACTGTCAAGCTTATTGGCACATTTTTCTGACATTTAAAATAATAGGAGTTTTTAAGACCCCTCATCTATGTGTATGTTTTTTTTAAAAAGAGTGTGGGTGACCCCCCGCCCCAAATTGGCTGTCACTGCCTTAAAAGCTCGTTACACAAGGCCATAAAATGTATGCCGTTATTTCTCCATTCCTAGGGGGTTACTCTTTTTTTTTAAATTTATTTATTTTTATTTTAGCGTATTATGGGGTACGAGTATTAAGGTTACATATATTGACCATGCCCTAGGGGGTTACTCTTGAAGCAGGATAGCAGGCACAGATAATCCCAAATTGCTGTTAAAGCTTGGTACAGAATGGGATTTGGTGTAAACTAATACTTACGGTGATTTTGGAACACAAATTAACCCTACTGCAGCCTTCATCTCAGAAAGTACAAAAATAGTGTCAGTAGTCATTGTAAGATCCTCCCACGTCATTTAAATAGTATAGGCTCCCAGTTGGTCTGCAACAGGTCCCATCTACATGCTCCTTCCTTTTCCCTTGCAGCTTATACTAATTCTTTTTCCAAGACTACTTTCTAGTCTTGGAAGCCACAGCCCTTTCCCTGCCTCTCATACTGCTTGAGTCTCATATTGCGCGTCATGACTGTTTGGTTGTCAACATCAGGCGCCTTTTGTTTACATAATTATTTTCATGACTTTCAGTGATTTTTTTTTCCCCATAAAAGCATGATTTTGTTTTTTTTATTCCAGTTAAATCTTCCATGGACAGGTGACAGTTGGCTAAGTTAATGAGAATTACTTGCACAATCTATATTTTTTATTACCTGTGACAAAATAGTCTTTCTTTTTTTCCCACGATTGGGCATCACTTCAACCTACTTTTTTAATGTTGCATTAATATGGACTAATCCAATTACTTTGTAATTTTAAAGCCATCTGTGCTTAAATGAATGTCAGAAAATATTGTGGCTGAAATAGTGGCCAGTGCGGGTGACCGGGCAGTGTAATGACAGAGGGCAAGAAGGATCAAATGAACTTGAACATTTTTCTAGGTCGCTCACAAATTCTTGAGCATTTAGCAAACCCTTCCAAATTTTTTGAACCAAAAAAAAAAAAACCATACATAAAAGATTTTGTAATTAGTTTAGAGAGCATATTTACGAAATTAGATCCATCCCAGAACTATGGGAAGTCATGTAACATTAAGCTTCACAAGGATCTTCTCTCAGGTTGAGAACAGTCACAGGAAGAAACTGTACTCTGTACAAAAGTCCAGATGCACCTGAAAATGCATGACTTGTCATAAAATTGATTTCTAAGACAATATTACATGGATTTAATATACACTCTGTGTATTTCCTCAAAATGGAAAGTGCTAGAGACCAGGACCATTTGTCCTCACGCAGTCTGCTATTCTTTGAAAGAATTTTTACATTGTTTGCTTCATGCAGGCATGGTTTCAACAATAGACATAATGAACAGAAATTTCCAATCTGTTCATCTGCTGGATGATCTAGAAGACTTCAGAGGTCAAGTAGTTTCTCACACAAAATTCATGTTTCCAGTCCCTTGGTGAGAATCAGAAAGTCTTGATTGATGAACCTAATTCTCAGCTTTCTTTCCATTCTATTCCATCGTGGATTTTTATCCCACTTACGCTACACTTGCTTCTTTTTTATTTGTTTTGTCACTATTTTATTCAGCTATTTTCCCTTCCTCTGTTCAGCACATACCTAATTGATGAGAGCCACAGAGAAGTAATATTTACTTCTCTTTGAGAAGAAGAGATGAGAGAAAGGTTTGCTTTTATCACTAAAAGGTATCTGCTTTCTGTTCCTTTCAGAGATGTCTTTTCTTTTGAAAAATATTCAATTGATATTTAGGTATCAGTAACCTGAGCTAAGATATGTTGGCAGTAAACATCCAAGACGAAACTTAGATTCCTCTTCCATTTGTTAAATGATTGATGTTTGTTTATACCCGTCTTTTAAAAAATTTAACGTAGTGTGTTACTGACAGCCTTTTGCTTTGACGTAGGCTTTAAATAGAGTTATGTTTCCCTTATCCTTTTATCAAACGATCTAGATTCCTCTACCTTGTAGCCTTTAGAATCACAGAATCAATTCATTTTAAGTACAGGGAGGAAAAACACCCTTTTACAGAAACCAAAATATTTTACTTAATTTTCTAAATTTATTCAATTCCAACTTGTAAATAACTCTGTCAAGGCATTTTACCTGTTTCCCTGGACTTAAGTATATTTCGTCTATTAGACAAAAGCAGATTTTGAAATCCTCAGATTTTGAAAAATTATGGATTACATTACCTTAAACTCTTTGACCCCACCCACCTTCTGTCTTTGAACTGGAGGAGTTAGAAGTCTTCCTCTTTGTGCTAGAATGTGTGTTTATGTGGCTGGTAAGTAAGGGAGATCTTTATCTCACCTCTTATAAGGCGAGGCCCTACCCTAGAGTTTTAGAGTAGGTGCCTAACAAAGACAGTGAGTTTTGGAGTAGGATCTACAAAGGCCAACGGGAAGGACCACTTCTTAGTAAAAGCAAAATGGTGTCTTTGATCACAGGGGCAAAAAAAGAAAGATAGAACAAATAGAATTGGCAGTCTAGGCCTACCCAGTCCTATATACGGTAGTACCCCCTTATCCACAGGGTAGATATAGTCCAAGACCCACAATGAATGCCTGAAACTGGACAGTACCTAACCCTATATATACACTGTGTTTTTTTCCTATGTATACATACCTATGATAAAGTTTAATTTATAAATAAGGCACAGTAAGAGATTAACAGCAACCACTAATACTAAAATACAGTAGTTATAACAATATGTCAGCATCACTACTCTCATGCTTTGGGGCCATTATTGAGTAAAATAAGGGTGACTTACACACAAGCACTGCAGTAGTTTGACAGTCTATGTGATAACCAAGACGGCTCTTACGTGACTAATAGGCAGGTCGTGTACGCAGCAAGGGTACATAGGAAAGAGGGAAGATTCAAGTCCTACGTGAGATTTCATCGCGATACTCCAAATGGCATGCAGTTTAAAACTTAAGAATTGTTCGTTTCTGTCAGTTCAATTCAAAGACCGAAGGTGGATGGGGTCAGAGAGTTTAAGTCAATGCAGTTCACTAATATTTCTGGACTGTGGTCGACCACAGGTAACTGAAACCACAGAAAGCACATGGGTAAGGGAGGACTTGACTGTGTCTTCTTAAGTCTCTTAGGACACTTTTGAGGCTAAAGCCAACTAGGGAAATCCGTTTTCAGACTCGGAGCTTCAGGGTGTCCGTAAAGATTTGAAGATAATCTAATAAATGCTGAAGTTAATATAAAATAACTGTAATTAGTAATTCAGTTTCAAATTTTTACTATCCTCCAAATAGCTTCATTGTTATATCAAATAAATGTTTCTTTAAATTTATATTAAAGGTTTTTATATCTTATATGTTAGATTTCTATTTAAAACTCTACTTAAAGAAAAAGATTTTACTACTGCAGAAAGAAAAAAAAAAAAAGAAGAATTCAGCGACAGGCCAAACTATCGAGTCCTTTGTCACAACATTCCTTAGGAAACTGCCATGTCACAAGTACAGTCTTGTGAGGGTGGAGGACTTAATGATAGCCTTCCCTACAAAGAGGAATATTCAAATATCCAAAATTAACATGGTTAGGCTATAACTGTGTTAAATAAAAATAATACTATGATTAACTTTTCCTATTTATCTTTTTTAATGTGGCTTCTAGAAAATTTTAAATTGCACATGTGATTGGCATTGTGTCTCCATGTGATTTGGCAATGTGTCTCCAATCTTTCACGTGGGCCTTAAATCAAAAGGAGAGAGTATTTATTTACTGCTTTGTATGCGACTGCTCTAATTCTTGTCTTGGAGGGGATGGAAAATATAATACAGAAGAAGAGTTTTTAGTGTGGGAGTAGTTGAACATTTGAAAACATTTTAAAACAATCATTTATTTCCTAGTTTGGGGACTCAATAGTATAAACTGGGTTTTGTTTTGTTTTTTTTAATTGTTCACTTTCTAAATGGGCTTCTGGAATTTAATTTCTGTGTTGAGCTGTATTTACCTTTGATAATATCTTTATTCCTTGTCTTGCAGGAAAGAAGAGGGTA